TTATAAAGCACTTGGCACATAGCAAGCTCCATATAAATATTACCTATTATTAGCTATTATCTTGTATTTCTGACTTTTAAAATTCCAGTTTAAGATTTTACACTAACCCTATTAAGTTTCATTTTAATAGTTTTTACCTGATCATCTAGATCAGGGGTGAGGAACCTGTGACAGCTTTGTGGCCACATGTGGCCCTCTAGGTCCTCAAGTGCAGTCCTTTGACTGAATCCAAACTTCACAGAACAGATCCCCTTAAGAAAAGGATTTGTTCTGTAAAACTTGAACTCAGTCAGAAGGGCTGCACTCAAGGGCCTAGAGGGCTACATGTGGCCTCGAGGCCAGCTGCAGTTTCCCTACCCCCAACCTTATCAAAATCGTGTGTGTATCTCGTGTGTGTGTGTGTGTGTGTGTGTGTGTGTGTGTGTGTGTGTAAAGGGTTTCTAGTTTGTCTTGCTTGTTGCCCATACTTTGTGCATTTCTATATAAATATCTAAGGATATGGATTTTATTACCTACTGCTGAAGAGGTCTAGGGGTTTTGGGGTGCTGGGACCCCAAGATCGTGGTACCGGGCCCTGCCTGAAAGAATTCAACTCAAATCTTCATCAGCCAGAGGAAAAGTTTGTTAGTGGTAAAACATGTAGGCCGGGTGACGCTCATAAAGGTGAGCGGGCATGAGAGGTTCTCAGCCTTGTGGGCCTGAGATTCTCAGCTGGGTGATGCCCGTAAAGATGAGCGGACATGAGAGGTTCTCAGCCTTCTGAGCGTGAGATTCTCAGCATCTGAATGAGGGCCAAGGTGGATCTTAAATACTAAAGTAACTTTGGGTGGCCAGAGAAGGGGGTTGGGTAAAGGGTGTAGGTAACAATTCTAATTGGGGAGGTCTGCCGAGATTGAATAGACAATGGGAATAGATAATGGAGGAACAGGGAGGCAGAAGTTTGAAAGGCATCAGCACAAAATCAAGGTGGGGCTAGGACTTTCAAAAGGAGACAAAGGAAGGCCTTTCTGGGGCCTATAGACAAGAGGGAGCCAGATTCTATTCAGGGCAAGGGTTGAAGGTGCATCTGAATAAGATCTAAAGGTAAGCTAGGGCTTTCAAGGGAGATGAGGGTCTGGGGCCTGTGAGTCAGATTCCCTTTGGGGCAAAGGGGGGAAGATCTTGGCTTGGGCCCCACCCTCATCACTGCTTTCTTGAAGCAATCTAAATCATACTGATCTTTTAAGTACCGGTTCTAGTCATATTCCCTTCTTGAAGATTTTCCTAAAAATAACCATTGAGTGGTACAGAAATTAGAGAAAGCAGTATTATATTATAGAAAAAAACTCTTAGTGCAATTTTAGGCTATCATATCTTAAAGTTTGCTCCAAGATTTTTGGGATCCTTCTTTTGTGCTTTGTATGTAGCAGGTACTTGAATTAATGAATATAAAAGCATTTATTAAAGGTTCCTATGTGCCAAGAATGTACTATGTGTTACAGTTGGACAAATACAAAAATCTTTGTCTTTAAGGATCCTACTTTCTAGTAGAAGAAGATGGTGAGTACTGGGGAGTTTGGATGCTTGTGTTTGGGATTAACATGATTTAACAGATCAGCCTCAATTTAGTAAATGCTTGCTAGGTGCTAGAGATACAAAGAAAGACAAAAATGCAATCACTGCCCTCAAGGAACTCATTCTAATGGGGGAAACAAGATACAAATGACTAGAGTCAAAAGGTAAACTGGTTTAAGGGAGTAAATTACACATCCTTTCTAAATGCAGTGGTGGTATTTATTTTATTTTTTATGGTTTCATAACTGGAAAGTAGGGAGAGGTGGATTTTGCAGTTGTGACAAGGCAGCTGGTGAGAAAATGGTCAGGGAGGAAAGTGATACCTATTTGATAAGAGAATGAATGAGCTCCCCTGTTTTCAACTTGCTTCCATATGTTTTTCTCCTTAAGGAGATTATTCAGTCAAGTCACCTTGTCTTTGATTTTCCTGAGATGATGGAAATAGACAATTCATGTCATTAAATAAAAAATACTAGGGTTGAATTTTTGTTTCATTTTGGGTCACTCAGAGTCATTAAAAGCATTGCCCAGTTTTAGAAATGAAATCCTATTTGCTTTCCTCCTACTAAATTCTAGTCTGGGTGGCCTCCATCCTTATAGCTGTGATGTTTAAAAAGTTCAAGGGATATAGTTTCTGGGTAATGTAATCATTTTATTAATAATGGCAGCATGTTTATTAATAAAAGGAAGTCAATGACACTCTTGAATGCCGAAGAACTGCACATGGCTGTGAGCTCACATTTTATATGCCCTTGGAAGAATGAGTGTTCCTGAGGGAACTCTGATTGGTTAACAGTTAATGAGAGAATTGAATATTATAATGGGAGGCAAGCTATATTGCAGTGAGGGTCTTTGGGTATGTGACTTGGATCACCCAAGGCTTGGTCAAAGAGACTTATCAATTTACATATTACCTGTCTGACAAGAGGGAGAATCCATGTTTTCCCGGACTTGTCTGAGCGAACACAATGAACAGGAATGTGCCTATTAGCCTAAATTTATAGTTTCTTTTATTGTCTTTGATTAGATCTAGCTATCCTGTCTGGGTAAGTCTTTGAGAGAGATTTCCCACACTGGTTGATGATTTCTGGATGAGAAAGTGGGAAAGGGGAAAAATCTTGGTTTCAATACAATAATTAGTTATTAATACAAGAGAGAAATAATCATTTTTCTCATAGAGCTTACTATATGCCAGTTGAGGTACTAAGTGATTTTACAATTATTATCTCATTTCATCCTCACAACAATCTTGAGAGCTAAGTGCTGTTGTTATCCCCATTTTACAGATGAAGAAACTGAGGCAAGGAGAGGTTAGGTGAGTTGCTGAGGGTCACCCACCTAGTAAGGGTCTGAGGCTGGATTTGAACTTGTCTAAGGACACACAGATGGTAGCAGGGGCAGGCAGGATTTGAATTCAGGCCTCTGTGAATTCAAATCTAGTGCCCTGGCTACTACACCTCCTAGGAGATATACAAAGTTTTTTCTAACTGCAAAGTCAGCTGAATTAGTTGACCCTGCGAGATAGCTATACTTATTATCCACACTTTATTGGTGGGGTACAGGGGCCCTGGTCACCATTCCAGGGAGGAGAAGAGTATTTGTGGTCCCTTACAGACCAGAGCACGGGCTGGGAAAGCAGTGACCACACCTCTCCTTGGATCATGCCACCTTGAAAGAAGAGCTTGCAGACCCCCAAGATAAGCTCTGATAAAAGCACATGACAGGAATGAAAGTCTTGGAGAAGGGTGGGGGGAGATGAGGCCAGAAATATCTGTTCTGCCTCCCTTGCAGCCACATATAACTACAGCCCCTCACCACATGTAATCCCTCTCTCAGCTTGGGGCACCATATACTTATATTTGGGTGGTCTGTCCATAGGAATGTAATTTTTGGTTGCTTATATTTAGGGGTTGGGGGCCAGATTTCTTTCTAAAAGCTGGAACAATTTGCTTTTTGTTTTATGCAGTTTTCATTTATGATTTCTTGAAATATATCTCCAAAAAACCAAGTTTTTAAAAAAGTAATGGTTTTTAAAAGAGTCCATTGATTCTCTGAACCAGCCCATTATTTTTCAGATGGAGCTACCTAATTGCCCTTTAAACCCAAATCACTCTAGCTTTCACTGAAGGCTAATAATAGTCCCAGCCCAAGCCTCTATGGCACATTTTTTAGGCTTTGATGGCTTACAATAGAGGTTCCCAAACTTATTTGGCCTACCACCCCATTTAAAAAAATTACTCAGCACCCGCCTGGAAATCTTTAACCCTTTAACATTTTTTAAAAATTTGCATCATTTCAAAAAAATATAATTTTTTAAAAAATGATACATCTTAAATTTAATAATTTGTTGTATATTTGTTTTTTCCTATGTTGAAATTTTGATTATGTAATATTGCATCATGTTACCATATAGTATTGTATTGTAAACAAGTCATTACATGCACATATTCTTGCTGATGCATGCTGGATTTCCCAACAATGTGCTGAACACTTGCCTGCCAACACTTTCTTGTTAAGACTTGTCAGTGGACTTGACCCTGATAGGTTATAACCTGCATTTTGTATGTTTATTTGGAAAATTAACATGTATGAACAGTTTTCTGTTTTCTTCTCTTTTCTTCTTTCCTTATGCTTCCACCACCCCCATATTTTTATTCAGTGCCCCCAATCACATCCAAGGCTACTATTGCCCCCTACCTCCCCCATCTTCCTAGCACCCCCTAGGGGGCAGTATCACCCACTTTGGGAACCTCTGCTTAGAATTGTTTTCTGTTCTGCCCAGAAACTTTGAGGCTCTTCCCCTCCCAGACTGATGTTTTTATGATGGTAAATTAGGCCATCTTTTGTCTCAGTTCTTGCCCAGCCTGGTAGTCATTGAAAGGGAGTTGCCTCAGACAGATTGAGGCCTGGAAAAGACCTTTATTTACAAAGGCCAAAGTCACCCACTGCATTCTGGGCCACTGCCAGTTTTGACCTGTCTTGCCACTGGACTTTAATGACTCTGGAGGAAAGAGTGAGGCTGAAGACTTTGTGCAACTCTGCCTCACTTAAATCCAGTTCATGGGCAAATCAAGACACCACTTGTGATGTCATTGGTCTTCTTTGAAGAAGAAGAACAACAATTCAGTTCAATTCAACAAACATTTTTAAGCATTTGCTCTTTGCAAGGCACTGTGCCATAAATTTCTTTTGGGCGGAGGAAATCTTTCCCTTACTTTGTAAGTGTGGGTGCTAGGCCCCAAATATGTGCCCTACATTTATTGCTCGGCTTTTCAGAACAGTTTTTACATCACTCATTTTTCCCTCTCAGGTGTCAAACAAGAAAATGGTTTCATTAATAGAGCCAGAACCTACCAAGGAACCTGAAATCTTAGAAGAACAAGAAATCAGCATGGCGTCTGAGGACGAATCTGGCTTAAATCCTCTTCTTCGACATATTCTTACAGGAAATGTAGAGCTTCTGCAGAAGCTTCTTGAAGACACAGAAGAGCCCTCTCATTCTAAGGCCATGCAACTAATTATGGAAGAAGATGTCATTGGAAGGAACTTCTTGTACACAGCATGCATGGCTGGGCAAAGCGAAGTGATTAGATTATTGGCAAAATATGGTGTGAACCTGAACGAGAAAACGGCTAGAGGTATTCTATTCTTTTTCTTTGGTGTTATTTCTTAGGAATGAAGTCAATCAACTAACGAAGCAATCTAATATCTTTAATTTAAGGTTGAGTAAATTTGACAGCTATTTTTATATTTTCCTTTCATTTATACACAGGTAACAGGTATCGCCAAGAGCAAAGCAGCTTAAGTGAGCTTTAAGTATTTTGTGAGGACAAGGAAATTCCCTCCTCTGTAGTGAGATGACTTTTTTTCAGGTCTTCCTTCACAAGAAGACAGAATTCATGCCCTGAAAACAACAATGGTAGTAATGATCATGACTGTTATCTATTCAGCAAAAAAGTGTTCGGGACCAACTGGATAATACCTCATTTTTAAAATGTCATTATTTAGGTTTTTAGTATTGAAAATAATAAGCAGACTCACTTTCGAATCCCAAAAGCATTTATTTGGGCTGGTTGTTGTCCTTCATTCTGGAAGAGGACCAAAATGACATCACTACAGTCATTTACTAGAGTCAAGTTACAGTGCGTCTGACTGGCTGATCAGACCAATACGAGATCAGAATGCTCCACCGCAGGTTGGACACAAATAGTCCATGTGAACATTTGGGGTGAATTCTCTAAATCTGCACATCTCATGTGTCTTTTGAGCTACTTCAATTCTGCTTTGCTCATAGAGCATAGCGCCTTCTCTGATGAAGGCATGCCATGTTGAGAGGTCCCTGTGCCAGTGTCTTCCACGTCACAGAAATATTCAGGCACTGAAAAGGCACATGCATAAACAGGTTCACAGTAAAGCAAAGAGTACACTGCCCTCTAGGTGTTAGAAAACTATTAGTGGTACGAGGATAAGGAGTAGTAGTACAAATGTACATTCAATATGGTGTTGAAAGGAACCCCACACATGGTATGACAAGGTGAATATGTTCTCATTGCCTGGGCTGAGGATGTCTTTCTTTCGGATATTCCCAGATAGCTTTCTTGTCTCTGTAGATGCAGTCATTCACTCAATTAAATCAAGGACCTACCATATGCCAGGTACTGTGTTAGGTGTCAGGAATACAAAGACATGAGAGAAAGGATCCCTACCCTCTAGAAATTTACATTCTTTCAAGGGGAGACAACATGTACATCTATATGTATGGACAAAATAAATATGAGCTACTTTGAGGGGGATGTGCTAGCAGCTGAGAGGATTGAGAAAGGCTTCACGTAGAAGGTGATAAACTGAACTTTGAAGGAAACTAGGGATTCTAAGAGAAAGAAGGCACAGAGATAGGAGAGTGAGTGTTGTGCTGGGAGCACCTGCCTCCCCGGCCGTGGTCTGATGCTGGCAGAGTGTGAAGAGAGAAAGAATCACGGGCCAGGTGGAAGATGGGAAGAACAAACTCTGTTTATTGATCTGAGGGCTCAGGCTTATATAGTACTGGATCAAGCAACAGTAACATTATTTTTCCTCCCTACCTGCATCCTGTTCTCAGCCAGTCAGACGCACTGTAACTTGACTCTAGTAAATGACTGCAGTGATGTCATTTTGGTCCTCTTCCAGAATGAAGGACAACAATCAGCCCAAATAAATGCTTTTGGGATTCGAAAGTGAGTCTGCTTATTATTTTCAATACTAAAAACCTAAAAATGACTTTTTAAAAATGAGGTATTATCCAGTTGGTTCCCGAACAATTTTTTTTTGTTGAATAGATAACAGTCATGATCACTACTGCCATTGTTGTTTTCAGGGCATGAATTCTGTCTTCTTGTGAAGGTAGGGGGTGTCTAGATAGCATTTTCTTTTCTTTTTTTTTTTTACTCTTTTTAGAATTATTTTATTAATTTATTTTGATTTATCAACAATTACTTCCATATGCTTTTGGGTTTAAAATTTTTCTCCCACTTCCTCCCCACCACCCTCCCCAAGACAGTGTACAATCTGACATAGGCTATACATTTACATTCCTATTAAACATATTTTCACATTAGTGAAGTTGTAAGTAAAAATTAAAACCCATAGGAGGAACCATCAGAAAGAGGAAACAAAACTCAACAGAAGAGAAAAAAAAGATAGCAATTCAACTTCCATAGTTCTTTCTTTGGATGTGGATAGCATTTTCCATCACGGGGCCTCTGGAGATGTCTTAGATTCCTTTTATTGCTGAGAAAGGTTAAGTTTATCAATATTAGTCATCTCACAACGTGGTTGTTATTGTGTACAAAGTTCTCTTGGTTCTGTGCACTTCACTTAGCATCAGACCATACAAGTCTTTCCAGGTTTTTTGAAGTCAGCCTGTTCATCATTTCTTATAGCACAATAGTATTCCATTACATTCATATACCACAACTTGCTCAGCCATTCCCCAATTGATGGGCATCCTCTCAATTTCCAATTCTTTGCCACCACAAAAAAAGCTGCTATGAATATTTTTGTACATGTGGGTCTTTTTCCCATTCGTGTGATCTCTTTGGGATATAGCACTAAAAGTGCTATTGCTGGGTCAAAGGGTATGCACATTTTTATAGCCCTTTGGGCATAGTTCCAAATTGTCCTCCAAAATGGTTGGATCATTTCACAGCTCCACCAACAATGTATTAGTGTTCCAATTTTCCCACATCTTCTCCAACATTTATCATTTTCCTGTTTTATCATGTTGGCCATTGTGATAGGTGTGATGTGGTACGTCAGAGTTGTTTTGATTTGCATTTCTCTAATCAATAATGATTTAGAGCATTTTTTCATGACTATAGATGGCTTTAATTTTTTTATCTGAGAACTGTCTGTTCATATCCTTTGACCATTTATCAATTGGGGAATGACTTGTTTGTTGGTTTTTTTTTTATTTTTAGGCAATTGGGGTTAAGTGACTTGCCCAGGGTCACACAGCTAGTAAGTGTCAAGTGTTTGGTCTGAGGCTGGATTTGAACTCAGGTCCTCCTGACTTCAGGGCTGGCACTCTATCCACTGTGCCGCCTAGCTGCCCCTTGTTTGTTTGTTTGTTTGTTTAATTTTTAAAACAGCACACTCTTGTGTACAGTTAAGCACTAAGTACTTGGTCTGAAACAGAAGCTTTTTACTGGGGTACCTTTTCTCCCTCCCAGCGCAGTGTTTCTAGTCCTGTTTAGTCATAGTAACATTTTGTTACCTTTTCATTATCATCATGAAATATTTACTCAATTTTTTTCTTCCAATACTTTTACTAAAATTAAGGAGGGAATGATCTGAACTCTCTCTTTGCATTTTAAGTACTTTCTCAGTCTAATTTCTTTGGGAAAGTAGTAATTTCCATGACTGTAGCAATAGTGTTTGGGTACAGAATTTTATGATGATAACTCAGAGCTGTAACTAGGGTAAATTGAGCAGAATTCCCACCTTTCCCCCAGAAACTAAATTTAGAGGGCACCAACCATATTTTCTTCTCAACTAACGCCAGGTTAGCTCTTCCCCAGCTGGCCCAGCCCTGCTTTTCTTCCTTCTTCTTCTTCTTCTACCTTATAGCTCCCCAGCAGTGGCTTCCTGTCCCAAGGTTTCCATTTCTTTACCATGCTCCCATCCTCCCATGAGCTTGTCCTTAAAATTTAGTTTGAGGACATATTTCTTTTCTTTTCTTTTCTTTTTTTTTTAATTTTTAGGCAATTGGGGTTAAGTGATTTGCCCAGAGCCACACAGCTAGTGTCAAGTGTTTGGTGTGAGGTCGCATTTGAACTCAGGTCCTCCTGACTTCAGGGCTAGTGCTCTATCCACTGCGCCACCTAGCTGCCCCTGAGGGTATATTTTAGCTCCTTGACTTGGGAATACTTTATGAAGCTTGTCTTGGGTCATACTAGATGGCCTTTGTACTGCCTTCCAGCTGTAAACCTGTGATCTGAAGGATCAGTGCTGCATTTTAGAGGGTGATCTCTTCCACCAGAAAAAATACTCTGAAATATCCAAATGTATTTGATTTGATTGCCTTTGTTCACTTTGCCAGGTTACACACTCTTACACTGTGCGGCAGCCTGGGGCCGAGTAGAAACTTTGAAAGCGCTGGTGGATCTGGAAGTCGATACAGAAGCACTGAACTTCCGTAATGAAACAGCCCAGGATGTGGCTCTTCGGTACTCTCAGACAGAGTGTGTTGATTACCTGGAATTGGCAGGTATCTGTGCCCTGAGTTATAAACATTTTTCTTTTTGCCTTGGAAGTCATTCATTCGAAGGTTGTGTCACTGAGTCAGTCAGTCCATCTGAATGATGGAATGATGGATACTACATGATGAGGCAGTCACTATGATATAAAGGAAAGGGTACAGAATTTGGAATCAGGAGAGATGTCAGTTCAGATTCCAATTCTAACTCGAGTCGTGTGGCCCTGGGTAAGCTACCTAGCTTGAGTCCTGAGGATAATCATTCTTGTGTTACTTAGGTTATGAGGTTGTTTCACAAATCAAATGAGATAATGTAGGTAAAGCTCTTTGTAAACTTTAAAATTGTCTATATTGTATTCTGCTTTTTACACCCACATTGAATAAAAATAGTCACAATCACCACTGCTGTCCTGGCTTTCAGGGTATGGATTCTGTCATCTGAATTTTGCTATAGTCATGGAACATTTTATAGAGTGGGAAATTGGCACAGCAGAAGCTTTTTGCTTGGCTTCTTAGAATTTCAGCAGGTATTTGTGTTTACACATGCTTAAATAAGGTAAATTCAACGTATGTGTTAATCTAGTTTCTCTGGGCCTAGGCAGAGTGGCCCATTCTTTCAACAAAAACAATTATTTTATTTGTACATCATGGGCTACGCTCCTGAAGTGACATCTCTCTAAAAGAAAACAAAAATACATCATGCAGGTACACATAAAAAAGAATACCTGATTTATAGGAAGTGTACTTAAGCTTTATGCAAGCTGTGTTTAGAAAAAAAAGTGCAGTCTGAAAAGAGCATAGTTTATAGTCATTCCATTATGTTAGCTCTTTGATGGTACATTGTTTTCCATTTAGGAATAATTCATTTCAACAAATATTTGTTAAACATTTACTATGTGTAAAGCACTATGCAAAGATAACAACAACAATAATAAAAGCTAGCATTTTTATAGTGCTTTAAGGTTTGCAAAATACTTTCCAAATATTATCTCATATTATCCTCACAATAACCTTGAGAGCCAGGTACTGTGGTACAAATGCAGAAACTGAGGCAAACATAGGTTAAGGGACTTGTCCCGGGCCAGATAACTAGGAAATATCTGAGGCTAGATTTGAACTTGTCATCCTGACCTCAGACCCAGTGCTTTATCCTCTGTTTTATCTATCTACCTAGCTGCCAAAGATGAAAACTGCCAATTTTCCTGGCATCAAGGAGATTACAACCTTATTGGTAAATAGTGCATGTATGTAAGTCACTGTAGACATATGGCAGAATATGATATTGACAAAGGATAAATGCAGACAAAGTGTTCTAGGGAAATTTGAGGAGGTAATACTGCCATAAAAAGAGAAGTACTATCAGTTCAAAAATATTCAGAGTCTTTTTCTTGTAGCAGAAAATTGAAAACACCTTATCTGTTCAAGATAAACACTGAACCGATTATGAAAGGAAAAAGTATTTGAGGAGGAAGAGATCCATTTTACCTGGGGCAGAGGATCTTTCTTTGTAAGATGGAGGTACTGGTGAGGAGGTCCATTCTTTTGAGTTCCTCCAGCCCGATTGATAAAATTATAGGATGTAAGGAGCAGGTAACAGAGACAAGAGGTGTTAAGGTCTTAAAGTATAAAGAAGTATTTATATTTGTGTTAACACTCTATTGGTTCTTTAGGAGACATGAAGAAGTTCTTTAGTTAAATTCAATGGTATTATAGAATGGTTAGCTTTTGTCTGGTCAAAGAATTAGCCATGCCTCTGGTGTCCTTTAAAAAGTGAGATACCCACTTCAAGGAGTCTGTCAAGGCACGAAGCAGGTCAAAGGGGGACGAGCTCTGGCATCTGAGAAGGGAGAATAACCTAGCTCTTGAGAGGGAATTGCTCCTTGCCTCTTGGCAGAGGGTTGAGGAGGAATGGTGGGGTGTGTGTGTGTGTGTGTGTGTGTGTGTGTGTGTGTGATTTCTCTCTGCCTCCCTGGGCCATCCACCATGACATCTTGCCCAGTCAGAGACACTGTGCCTAACAAGAAGCAGGCCCAGGAGCCCAGGGGAGGAACATAGCCATCAGGAACACTAAAAGGGCACCAGAGTGTCTGCACCTTCACAGGTATGATTCTCCTTGCCAATTATACTCTCTAAGTGTATACCTCTCTCTCTACTAGTGTACTCTATATAGTGTCCCTACTTTTCCTACTTGTACCCCTTGTATTTGTGGGAGGGAATTTTGTAGCTACTCTTCTTGTAACACTATCCCAGTCAGGGAATACAATTAGCACAAAGCAAAGGCATTCACTGGGATGGTATTATAAGAAGAGTAGCTACAAAATTCCCTCCCACAAATACAAGGGGTACAAGTAGGAAAAGCGTGCATCCCTGACAGGTAAAGCTGGTGGGGGCTCATGAGCTATAATTTGGGAAGGTAGACTCACAAAGTACCTTGAATCTGGAGCAGTTATCCCCCAAGAAACCCAGCCTTCAAGTGTAAGTGGGGAGTAGGGAAAGAGGAGGTAGGTCCCCTGAAGTGACACTACAGGAATAATTTTCAATTTTCAATTACTTTTGTTAAAGTGTTTTAGAAAACTCGTGCCTTGCCTTCTTCATCTTAAAAAGTCTACAGAGTAGGAGCTAAAAGTTTGCAGAAAAAAATATGCCTCTGTTATTTGCATGCAAATTGTGGCCAAGTCCCAAGCTAAATATAGGCTTAAAAAATTCATGATGCTAGTTTGGTATGCTTATCATTTTTCTGTTGATTCAAGTATTTCATAGTTATTTATTCAGTTCCTCTTCATGGACATTTCTTCTGTGCCTACTATGTATATAAAGGCCCTGTGCCAGTTATTATGGAAGAACCTGATCCTTACCTTCAGGAGCTAACAATCTATTAAATAAATTCTATTTGATGAGTTAAGTAAGATATGTGCTCAACTAACTGTAATAGAGGTACAAAATGCTCAGAGCACAGAGGAGGGAGAAGTCAGTGCTAGTTGGGAAGATCATGGAAATCATCACGGGGGTGGTAGTAGTTGAGCTGTCCCTTGTATATGAGCAGGACAGGTAGAAATGGGTCAGGAAGATCATGCATGCTAGGTAGAGAGAGCAGAGTGAGCAAGGTTCCAAGGCAGGAAAGTCCAGGCATGTTCGAGGGAAAAACAGGGGCTCTAATCTGATTAGAACATTGGGTTCATGGAGACCTAGGACAAAATAAGTTTGGGGAGAGATGCCCTGCCAAGATGACTGCTTGAGCAGGAGGCAGAATACCTAGCTCGTACATGCCTGTTCCAGTGAAACCCTAGTCCTCATACTCAAACCAAATAATTATTAAGAAGCCCAACTACAGTAACCGTTTTCTACTCCAGAACTTCACAAGACATCAGCTAGAAGCCTGAAGGCAGTAAGAGAGGGACCCACTCTAATTCCCCCTCCCTATACTGCCCCCACTCCCTGCAAAGCTAGCTCTCACCCCGAATAGCCTCTTAGCATCATCAGAGATGGCCAGTGACACATAGATCCTACAGGGCTTTGTGTCCTGTGGAATCAAGAATGGAAGGCTTCCCTGAGAATGTCCCAAGGTAGTCAGAAGGCCCTAAGGTGGGACCTTGGAAATGCTGGAGAGCAGTGTCTGTGACCATTCTGTCATTGCTTAGTTCAGGGTCTCTCAGGGCTCTGATATCCCTAACACTGTGTCCTGAAACATGAGAGAGGACCATGAAGATCTAGCACTCTGAACCTTAAAGATTCAGGGAAGCTTAGCCTGTAGGGGGAGTATAAAAGGTAGAGCCTGACCCTGGCACAAAGCTCCTATTCATGAACGAAAGCTGGAGAGATGAGTAAATCAAAGAAAACAAATATAAGCAATTATTGTAGATCTAAAGATCTGTCTGAGGAAGGAATGAGGATGTCTAGTTGAGATCATATTGCTTGCCTTCTCAAGGAGTGGGAGAGGGGCATGAGGAAGGGAGAAAATTTGAAACTCAAAATCTTTTAAAATATTAAGAGAATTTGTACATGCAATTGGGAACTATTTAATGAAATAAAATATATTTTAAAGAAAGGGAATAAGTAACTCTGTACCAACTTCAAGCAGTGATTTAAAGGAATACATGGATCTTTCACAAGAATAACATGAATACCAAGAAGAAATGAAACAAGGATCAAAGTGAAACAAAAACTCTTGAGGAAAAAATTAGAAGTGTAATAAGTAGCTTAGAAGAGAAAGTGGTAAACCTTGCCCAAGAAAAGGAATCCTTAAAAACTAGACTGGACCAGATAGACATCAGTGAATCTATGAGTGATGAATATTAGAACAAGATCAAAAGATTGGAAAAAATAGAAGAAAATAGAAGATACCTGATACTAAATAAATTGACCTGGAAAAAAATGGTGAAGGAGAGAACATTTAACAATGATTTGACTTCCTGGAAACCATGATTAAAGAAAATCCTTGAAACTATATCTAAAGAATATAAGGAAATTAGCCAGATGTATTGAACCAGACTGCAAAGTAAAGAGAAAAAGAATCCATTGATCACATCCTGAAAGAAATTCTGAAAGAGCAGAGTCTCAGGAATACCATAGCCATAATCTAGTGCTCCCATGTCAAAGAAAAAAAATGCTGTAGGCATTTTTCCTACATCTGTAACTGATCATTTCCTGCCAGTTAAAATATGGTCACTTTCATTTTTTGTTGTCTTTTTTGATGCTTGCCCAATTTTTTGCCTCTTAACATTTTCCTTTAAAAAGCATTCATGGTACATAGTCATTTGACTTCAGCCTTGCTTGTCTTCTACTTCCCTAATTTCTTTCCCTCAGATGATATTTTCCAATCTCTTTTTCATGTCTTCCACCTATGTCCACTTTTGCATTGAAATGATTAGATATTAATGTATTTATTGATTAAATTTGAAGGGTTGTATTGAGTTCTCTTTAGAATTTCTTTACCTCCTTTTTTAACATATTGGCACAGAAGCTGAAATTATTTAAATTGTGGTCCTTTTGCAAATGTGTATCATGAATATTGTAATATTATGTGACTAAATGTCTCTTGTAATAGTGTGTAGCATGTGTGTGTGTGTGTGTGTGTGTGTGTGTGTGTGTGTGTGTGTGTGTAAGGGGGAGGGAGATTTGATCAGAATACCCTTGATCAATTGGTTTCCCCTACTTAGTTGATAAAAAACACAGAAGATAGGTAGGTAAGGCAATAAAGTGTTAAGTTCTTAAATAAGGTGTAAAGAAGGGTTTATACTCTGTTAACACTCTATGAGGTATGAAGAAGCTCTCTGCTCAGAATGGATGGAATTAGAAGGTATCTGGCCATAGATCAACTTATGCCACTGATTTCCCTTTAAAAAAGTAACACATAGTCTCTTTTGAACCAAAAGACATCTCTCTTGATAGCAGAGAAGGCCAGCTGTGGAAGAAGAACCCAGTCCTTCAAAAGGAATATAATTCTCCATCTCTCATGGAGGTGGGCTGGAATTTCTTTTTCTCCTCTCTTTCTGCCCTCCACCTTATAAACTATGACATCTTGCAGCAGAGCTCCTCACCCAGTAAGAGATCCCATAGCCCAATGGAGAGCAGACCCAAAGAGCTGAGGCAGGAAGCAGATTTATAAGTGTGACCGCAGTGAGTCAAGGAGAAAGAAAGCCATCTCTGGCCATCATGAAGAGGAACAGTCCAAGGAGACCAACTAAGGGGCCTATGTAAGATCTATGAATGAAGGTAAGCTGAATGTGGTCAAACAGGAGATGGAAAGATTAAACATCGACCTCTTGGGTGACAGTGAACTCAAATGGACAAGCATGGATGATTTAATTCAGGTAATCATTATCTACAGTACTGTAGGCAAGAATCCCTGAGAAAAGCAGTATTGGGATGTAATTTCAAAAATGACCGGATATTTCTTTGAATCCAAGGCACTAACCATTCAACATCACAGTAATGTAAGTCTATGCTCCATCCACTGATGCCAAAGAGGCCAAAGTTGATCAGTTCTATGAAGACCTAATAACACCGAAAAAAGATGCTATATACATCACTGGGGATTAGAATGCTAATGTAGGAAAAAATAATTAGAATAACAGGCAAGTTTAGCGTTGGAATACAAAATGAAGCAAGGCAGAGACTAAGAGAGTTTTGTCAAGATAACTCACTGGTCATAGCAAACACAGTGTACGGTACAAAAGGTGACTCTCCGCATGGACATCAGCAGATAGTCAATATTGAAATGAGGTTGATTAGGTGCTCTGCAGCCAAAGCTAGAGAAGCTCTGTACACTCAGTTAAAACAAGATGTGGAGTTAACTGTGGCTCAGATCATCAACTTCTTATTGCAAAATTGAGACTTAAATTGAAGAAAGTAAGGAAAGCCATCAGACTATATAGTTATGGCCTAAACAATATCTGTTATGAATATGAAGTGGAAGTGATAAATAGATTTAAGGGCTTTGATCTGGTAGATAGAATGCCTGAAGAACTTTGGACAGAGGTTTGCAATATTGTACATAAGGCAGCAACAAGAAACATCCCAAAGGAAAAGAAGAGCAAGAAAGCAAAATGGCTGTCTGATGAGGCGTTACAAATAATTGAGGAAAGAATGAAAGTGAAGGGGAAAGGAGAAAGGGAAAGCTATACCCAACTGAATGCAGAATTCCAGAGAATAGCAAGGAGAGATAAGAAGGTTTTCTTAAATGAACAATGCAAAGAAATAGAAGAAAACAATGTAATGGGTAAGACGAGATCTCTTCAGGAAAATTAGAGATGTTAAGGGAATGTTTCGTGCAAAAATGGGCATGATAAAAAATAAAAATGGTAAGGACTTAATAGAAGTGGAAGAGATTAAGAAGATGTGGCAAGAATACAGAGAAGAACTATACAAGAAAGATCTTAATGTTACCAATAACTATGATGGTGTGATTACTGATCTAGACAGACATCTTGGGGAAAATCAAATGGGCCTTAGGAAGCATTATGAAGAGTAAGGCTGGTTGAGGTGATGGAATTCCAGCTGAGCAGTTTAGAATCCTAAAAGATGATGCTGTTAAAGTGCTGTGCTGAATATGCCAAGAAAATTTGGAAAACTCTACAGTGGCCACAGGATAGAAAATATAGATTTAGGTCTCAATTCTAAAGAAGGACAATGCCTCAAAGAGATGGGAGTACCCAGAGTTCTCCTGGGGAACCTGTGTGTGGGCTAAGAAGCAACAGAACTGAACATGAAACAACTGATTGGTTTAAGATTGGGAAAGGAGTATGATAAGGCTATATATCATCACCTTATTTATTTAACTTATATACAGAGTACATGATGTAAAATGGCAGGCTGGACAAATCAAAAGCCAGAATTAAGGCCGCTGAGAGAGAATATCAACAATCTCAAATAAGCAGATGATACCACTCTGATGGTAGAAAATGAAGATTTAAGAAGCCTTTTGATGAGAGTGAAAGAGGAGAGTGTGAAAGCTGGCATGAAGCTTTACATAAAACAAAGCAAAACAAAACAAAACAAAACAAACTAAGATCTTGACACCTGATCCCATCACTTCCTGGCAAATAGAGGGAGAAGAAATGGAAGCAGTGTCAGATTTTATATTCTTGGGCTCAAAGATCACTGCAGATGATGACTGAGATAAAAAGATGCTTGCTCCTTGGGAGGAAAATATTAAAAAGCAGAGCCATCACTTTGCTGACAAAGTTCCATATACTCAAAGCTATGGTTTTTCCAGTAGCAATGTACGGCTGTGAGAGTTGGGCTTTAAGAAGAACTGGGTGCTGCAGAATTGATACTTTCAAATTTTGGTTCTGGAGAAGACATTTGAGAGTCCCTTGGACAGCAAGGAGATCAAATCAGTCACTACTTAAAGAAATTAATTCAGAGTATTCATTGGAAGGTCAAATACTGAAGCTGAAGTTTAAATATTTGGCCACATATTGAGAAGACAAGACTCATTGGAAAAGCCCCTGATGTTGATAAAAATTGAAGACAAAAGGAAAAGGGGATAGCAGAGGATGAGATGGATAGATAGTGTCATGGAAGGAACAAACATGGGCTTGGACAGACTTCAGGAGATCTTAGTGGAGGATAGAAGGACCTGGCATCCTTGGGGTCACATGGGGTCCATGAGGTCACAAAGAGTCAGACATGACTGAAGAACACTAATATTTATACAGTTTGACTAAGAATGGAAGAGGGAACTAGGGGAATAAACATTTATCAGATGGCTACTGTATGCCAGGCATTATGCTAAGTGCTTTATGAATATTATTTCATTTGATCCTCACGACAAACCTTGGAGGTAGAATGGAAACAGTGATTTAAAGAGTGGCAGTACTTTTTAAAAATTAATATAGCTCATTTATTATGATGATTAGAATGGAAAAATATTTACTTTAGTTATGAAATATTTAATTTGGTCATGAAATTTTATTTCCTTTTTGTGAATAAACTATATAATTGAAAATGACAAAAAATGTTTTTTCCACACTCTTCTTAAGAAGCCTCTTGAAAATTTTGAGTTGATCAGTAGAATATAATCCCGTATATTAATTCTCATGAGAACATTAGAAAAATAGCAATGGCTATCTCTTCCTTCTCTTACTGGAAGTACAAAGGAGAGAGCCAGAAGAGTCCCAAACTGAGAGGAAGAGAGAGAGAGAGACAGACAGACAGACAGACAGACAGAGACAGAGACAGAGAGACAGACAGAGAGAAAGAAGACAGAAGAGAAAAGAGATACTGAAAATGGGACAGAAGAGAGACAGGAGAGGAGGAAGGAAGGGGAGGAGAGAGAGGCAGAGAGAAGGAAAGGGGAAGAGGGGGAAGAGATGGGGGGAGAGAGGAGGTTTTGTTCTCTCCTTTTATAGCCTATTAAATGAGTGGCTCTTCCTGGATCAGTTGCCAGTCATCTTTGACAGTTTCCCATCCCTCTGACTTTGAGCTAAGTGTACATGACCATCTCCACAGGACTAGAGCAGGCACACTCAGCTTCAAGGGCTTTTAAGTGTAACAGGGGACAGGCCAGTGAGAACCCAGAACTTAGGAGCGTGCTCAGCATGCGTTGCCTAAACCTGCTCATCTCCCCCCCCCCACCTCCCAACTTTTCCTTTCTTCTTACTGTGTGGGCCTTTTAACTGGTTGCTGAGCTGGAACTGAGTGTATATATAAGATATACTAATTAGTCAAATCAAAGTATTTTCCTCCCTGGCTGTGTTTGAGTGAGGAGTATGAATTGCTGTGGGCCTCCGGGTGGGGAAGTCAGCATAGGGGATTGCATTACAAATAGCACACTAGACTTCCACTGAGCTCTTCCCCTTTACACTAGTAAACCCCTAGATAGGGTAATTCACTTTATGCTCCGATGCTTTTGTCCTCCTCCTGTGACAGGCTTAGATAGTCACGAAGCTTGCTTGGGGAAAGCTTAAAAAAATGTCTATAAGTGTTATTTAATTCAGAGCTTCACTAGAACACCAAACTAAGTGCTGTTCTATAGAAATTCTTTATTTAATTCCTAATAATTCATAAAGAACAACAGAAATACATAACAATGATAGTATTAGATTTTTCTGTCCATGTTAGTAAAATACTTCATATAACGCTTTTTTTTAAGCTGAGTAGAAATGACTTCTGTATGCAGAGTTCATGATTGTGGGTCTCACAAATGTGGCAAAAAAAATATAACAAAGGCCACAAAAATATTTTTTTTATCCAAAAAAGAATCTTCTCTTTCAGTAGTTTCCTTCTAAAAGATCTATGCTAGAGAGGTTTGATTAACATGTGGACACATTTGGAAGTTCCAGTCATGTTTGTCTCCATCCCTTTTTTTCTTGAATTTTCTTCTATGTTTTAATTTTTTGGAGTGATGGTGAGGTACTTGCTTTAGGTATCTTGTCAGCATTGATGTAGTTGACAGCAGCCTGCAGAGGATTTGGTCAATGTCATAAATGGACTCATTTTGTTGATCAACATTTGAGGAAAAATTATCTTCTGGCTAAAAGGAAGAAACAACTGATAGCATAAAACATTTTTCTTTCTGGACACCAAACCTAACCTGTGTGTGAATATATAAACTTAAACTCTAATGATTTGTTCCTGCCATAGTTTTCAGTTTTCTAGCCGACATGTTATTCTGAAGGGAATGTAGAAGTGAAGGCATGCCACTCCGACCTGCCTCTACCCCAAAGGAGATCACCTTGACTGCCATCATCAATAGCTACTTATCAGGTTCTTACGCAGGAATAGGGAGCTATGCTATGAGATTGAATATAGTTCAGGTTAACCAGAAAATGGCAAGGAGTACTCATTCAACCCTTACTACTTCTTTCTCTGAACTTGGCCAAATCATATTGTCATCTGTAGTGGGCTACTCTTCTAGTGTTCAGCTGACTTCACAGGTGCTGAAATCCTGCCATGCTGGATGACTTACTATCTCATATAAGTGTCCAGAGTTTTTCTGTGGCCATGCCTTTGCTCATAACTATAATGCTCTCCTCTCTGTCTCCATATATTGAAAGTGTGTCTGTTTTCCAAGGCTCAGTTCAAATTCTACCTCTTGAAGCCTTTGTTGATTGTACTATCAGAAATAATCTTTCTGTTCTTGTATTAAATCAATGAGAACTTCTCTTAAGTGACAACTAGGTGAATATAGTGCTAGACCTGGGAGTCAGGAAAACCTGAGTTCAGAAGTGGCCTCAGAAAATTGATAGCAATGTCACCCTGGGCAGGTCACTTAACCTCTATCTTATTGGGAGATTAAAGTGAGATAATATTTGTCAAGAACTTTGCAAACCTTAAAGCACCATATATGTTAGCTATTATTGCTATTGTTATGCTAGCGAATTATTAATTTTGCATGTGTATGATTATAGGATCATAGATATAGAGCTGTAAGGGGACTTCATAGTTCAACCTCATTTAAAAAAAATATATTTTTTTTATTTTAGGCAATTGGGGTTAAGTGACTTGCCCAGGGTCACACAGCTGATAAGTGTCAAATGTTGGGTCTGAGGTCAGATTTGAACTCAGGTTCTCCTGCCTTCAGGGCCGGTGCTTTATCCACTATGCCACCTAGCTGCCCCCAACCTTATTTTTGTAGACGAAGAAACTGAGGTGCAAAAAAGGTTAAACGACTAGCATATGGCCATGGAAATGGTGCCAGACCTGGGATCTGAACCCAGGTTTTTCTTTACTCCAAGTCCAACATGCCGCTACTGCACTCTGCCTAGAATCATCTGGAGAGAAAGAAAATTCAAGAGGAATATACATGTTCTCAGTGCCATCTAAATTTCTGCTCCCCGTGGCAAAGCCCAGTTACCCCAAATCACAGAATTACAGAATATTATTGTTAGGAGGGCACTTAGGGAACATGTCCTCCCATCCACACTGGAAAGAGAATTTCCCTCATTACAGCTCAGGATTGAAGCAGAAGAAATGACAAAGATCAACAAACAGAATTTATTGAGGCATAGAGCCCTACTCTTGGGTATGTTGGACAGATCTAGGGTAGGGAACCTGTGGCCTCAAGGCCACATGTGGCCCTCTAGGTTCTCAAATGTGGCCCTTTGACTAAATCCAAACTTCATGGAACAAATCTCCTTAATAAAAGGACTTATTCTGTAAAACTTCGACTCAGTCAAAGGGCCACACCTAGGGACCTAGAAGGCCACATGTGGCCTGAAGGCCACAGGTTCCCCACCCCTGGAACTTAGCCTATAAAAACCCATAGAACTTGAAGAAATGAAGGTGAAGGGGGACAACCTAGAAAGGGAAGAATTTGGATATAGATAGATGTGAATTCTCCTCTGCCCCTCAGACCCTTTTTTGGTTATTGAAATAACAACTTGGTGAAAGATCAAGACATTCTGCATTTTTAAAAATACAGAGAGGCAACATAGCATAATGGAAAGGGCATTGGGCATCAGAAACTAGGATGAGGCCTTTGGAGAACAAAGTTTGGAAATTGAGTCTCCCCCGACACTGTGCTTAAAAATTCTGCTGCCATAGTGTTTTTTGCAGTTTTTGAGACTTTAATACATTGAACTTGACTTATTCTAATGTAAATACCTTCAGTGGAATTTTTGGCACAAAAATCATGTGCATTTTACAAAGTAATTTACAAAAGGTGATCCTTCCCACACAATTACCAGCCCTAAGTGTTGTAAACCTAGTTTGTCTACCCCTAGTGCCCATTTAGAAACCTGAGTTTTGATTCTGGCTGTGGCACTTACCAGCTATGTGACCTTAGGCAACTCACTTATTGTTCCTGAAACTCAGTTTCCTCATAGTAAAATGAGGTTTAGACAAGATAAGTGTTTTCCAATAGCCTGGTAAAATTTTTGGAATTCCTTCCTGTAGACTTCTGTCATCTGTTTGAAGTTTGGCAGCTCCCCAAGGCTCAGGGAGCTGGTGGCATCATAACTTTGGTGAGATAGTTTGGAGGGAGGGAAAGGAAAGATTATGAGGAAAAAGTCAGAGGATGAAGATAGAGGAGAAGGAAGTCAAGTTTTTGAGTTAATAAGTTTTGCCAAGTAAGAACCTTTGGTAGTAATTTTTTTGTGTCCTGGTTTAAAAAATTGCCATAATTTCTGCCAGTCAAGTTAATTTAAATTTATAAATTAAATATTTTATATTTAGGCATATTTATGTGCTTCTGTAAGTATATAGAAAACTGGCTTCAGAATCCTAAAGGCCTGACAGACTATGTGATCTCTTGGTGCACCAGGACACTTATGAAGAATGCAAGATGCACCCTGCCTATGTGACAATCTACATTGGTAGAAGGAGTTTTCTTATTGGGAGTTGCTTATACTAGTCGTGTCAAACTCAAAATAGAAATGGGGGGGCCACTAAACCACATATGTGCCTGTAGCCACATATTGACTTAGAAAACCACATATAACCTAGAAAACCACGTATAATTATCCGTGTTCTGTTTTATTTTTATTACTTTAAAAATGTTTCCCAATTACATTTTAATCAGGCTGAGGATGCACTTGAGAGTATAGGTCTACTGTTTGACACCTCTGCCTCACACCAATATATCACAAGTCCATTCCCCCCCAAAAAAAAAGAAAATTGTGTATGCTAATGTTAACATTAAGAGATATCTTGAACTCTTATTTTCTCTGAGAAAGAGGTTTTCAGTGCCTAGGCCTTTTTTTTTTAAATAGTGAGAGTTAAGACCAGAAGTTACAATACATAATCTTTTTCAATACCTTTTTTGGGGGACAAGGGTGGACTTGTGATTTCAACTGTTGCACATCAATCAGCAAGTGCTCTGTAGCCTACATTATTAGACACTTGCCTGGAAGCAGTGAAATTAAGTGACTTCCCTCTGGTCACACTCCTAGTATGTGTCAGAGACAGGCCTGGAAACCAGGTCTTCTGGGCTCTGAGCCACTTCTCTATCCATAGACCATGCTATCTTATCTCTAAGCAGAAGTTCATAGCCTGGGATCCATGAACATTTATTAAATACATTTTTAGAATTATAATATAATTGGTTTCTTTTATAATCATTATGTATTTAATTTAAAATTTTATGTATTTAAAACTTTATTCAGAGGCTTTACCAGACTGCCAAAGGGGTCCATGATGCAAAAAAAAAAAAAAGGTTAAGAACCCCAGCTCTAGTGGAAACAGTTCTGGATTGGCAGTCAGGAGACCTGAATTCTGTATACTTAGTCTTGCCAAATAGCTCTGTGATCAGTAATTTAAACTCTCTGAGCCTTTGTTACCTCCTCTGTATAATGCAGAAAATATATTTTCACTACTGACTTTATAGGGATGTTGTTTGTAAAAACAATGTATTATGTAATCAATGTGAGTTGTTATGAAATTGTACTGTGGTACTGTGATCTTTTTTGTTGAGAAAGCACAGAGTACTTAATCAGTGTTATTCTTATGAGATAATGAGTGACAATAGTATATTGCAAATAACCCATTGGCAGATGCAAGAAATATATATTTTATATATATATATATGTATATATATATTTTATACATATATATGTATATATATATATATATATATATATATTTTGTATATGAGTTTTATAATCCTAAGAGACAAAATTAACCATTGCCTATTCTGTTGGGGGTGTGTGTGTGTGTGTGTGTGTGTGTGTATGTTTGTTAAATGTCATCCTTTGCTGAAAAATCTCAGGGCACAATACAAGAAAATCATAGGATAACACATAGAAAGTGTGATGATCTGTCCAGGGGGGTTGTTTTACTTTCCCCAAATAATGTTCTGGCTTGGCAGAATATGTACAATCAACTTAGGAGCTGTTACCCCCAAATGATGTTGGGGGATTTCCCCAACATAAGGTTACTTATAGTCAGGATAACATATTTGTAGAAAGATGTGCTACATTCATTTGTGTTCTTGAGGAGTTTGCGGATATGTATACATGCATTATATAACATTTTCATTACAAATTTCCATCACTACTTCACCTTCCTTGTGTGTTTCTTCCATTGGTTCCAAAGATAATGTCCAGATAAAACAGTCAGGATTATAAAGAGAGTTTCCACTAAAATATAAGAGAGCTTGGCACAACTCCAAAAATTGCAGCCCAGCTGGTCCAGAGGATAGGGCAAACAGGAATGTGGAGGCGTAAGCTGCATCAAATCTACTTCTCCTGGAAAAATCTCCCATCCAACCTTTGCCCAGGTTGCTCTAGCACAAACACAGAAGCTCTCTTTGACAAAGCAGGCAGACCATAGAGGAATGACCAGAGATAGGCCTTGAATGAACATGTTTTTTCTTCTAGCTGAGAAAAAAAAAATTATGGTGAGTTGACCTTGTTTGTGCCAGAAGCCATGTCAGAGATTGAGCCAAAAAAAAGTCCTTAAAATTCACAATGAAGTATTTTAGGTCCATTTTAAACAGCATGATATTTCAGTCATAGCATTTCAGATGAGAGCTATAATTTTCTGAGCCAGGGCAGCAGTAACTTGGAGGGCAGTGTGACATTGTCAAATAGATTGATTCAAGGATGGTTCTATGAGGTCATAAAGAACTTCAAAACCTTCTAAGTTGGCAGTATTAGAACTAGAAACTGTAACAAAACCTCCCAGCACTGTGAATTTTTTCTCTGTGTATCTGTTTATATGATCTTTATAAAACCCCTTTTATTCAAAGAAATTAAGACACATTTCGCATTAGTAATGAAACTATAAATCTTGGCCAGATATTTAGGTTGAGTAATAAAGGTGGGCAGTATGGCAAAGTATTTTAAGTTTATGGATAATAAAGGTAGGTTGTAAGTATAATGAGACATGGAAATATAGGCAGGAGGAGCGACATGAGCTCTCCCTTGACAGCCCTACATGAGGCAGCTTTTGAAAGAGCAAAGAGATGGGTAATACATTTTTATGATTTTGAAGTTGTTACATCCTATTTTAAAAGGCAGCCAGGTGGTGCGGTTGGATAGAGCACTGAGCTTGGAGTCAAGAAGACCGGAGTTCAAACCCAGCCTTAGACATTTACTAGCTGTGGGACCCTGGATGAGTCACTAACCCTGTTCCCTTGAGTTTCCTCATCTGTAAAATGAGCTGGGAGAAGAAACTGGCAAACCACTTCATTATCTTTGCCAGGAAAACCCCAGCTGGGGTCACAAAGAGCCAGACATGACTGAAATGACTGCACAACAATAACAACGTATTCTGTTTTAATATTTCATACACAACCCTTGATATACATTCCCTCCAAGTATAAACTTCCTAAAAGGATGGTGGTGACTAACAGTACATGTACCCTTACATTTTAGTAGATTACTGTTTGTTAAAAGAAAAGACAGGTCACTTCAGGTTTTCTCATTTAAAAAAATTCTTCATATTTATCACTCCTTCTGTCACATTAATATTCCACTATATTCATATCTATTCATACACACAGTTTTTTCAGTCAGCTCCCCATCTTTGGGTCCACAATTTGTTTTCACCATTTTGCTATTACAAACAGTGCTGCCATGAATATTTTGATATAGATTGGGCTTTTACTGATATCCGTAACTTCCTTTGAGTATAAATCCAATGGTGAGATTGTTGGGACAATGATTATGAATACTTTTTTAACTTTTCCTACAAAATTTCAAATTATTTCCCAAAATAATTGATCAGTTCACAATTTTACCAGCAGCAAATTGATGCCTGTTTCCTTACATCTCTGCTAGTTTTGACATTCTTATGTGTGTGAAATGATACCACTGATATTTTATTTTACATTTCTCTGATTATTAATTACTTCTGATACTTTAAAAGTGATTGTTGATAATTTTAATTTCTTCTTTTGTGTTCTAGTCATATCTTTTCACCATCTTTTGGGAAATAGGTTATAATCTTTTAGATTTGGGTTAGTTCTTTATAGATTTTGAGTATCAGACATAAAAATCTGACATGTTTTGTGTAAAATTTTTTCCTGGTCTTTCTCTCCTTTTTTCTCTTTTTAGTCTAGCTGCATTTATTTTTGCAAAAGATTTTTAAAAAAACATAAAGTTGCCTATTTGTTTTTAAAAGCTACTCTTTATACAACAGCTAATGAATTTATCAGTTAGTCATGATTCTGAGTTATAACTTTCCATTCTTCAAATTTCTTAATGATATAATTTTCTTCTATTTATTTTACTTATCCATTTTGAATTTCTTATATTTAATGTATGTGTGATATAATTTAGGATAGGATGCTGAGCTAAGACTATTTTCTATCAAACTGATATCCACTTTCCCCTAGCAATTCTAGTTGATTTCAGAGGTGTTTTTTTTTTTCCTTTTCTCCTATACTTTGTGTTTGTGGTTTAACCTCCAGTTATTTGATGCATTTTGTTGTGATTTTAAATGTCATTCCTCTTGTTATCTCTTCTTCTTGGTTCTTCTTAGCAACATATAGAAATAGTCTCAATAATTTTTGTTGCCTCTTAAGAGTTTTCTAAGTAAACCGTAACATCATCCAGAAATAGAGATACTTCGGCTCCTTTTTGCTAGTCCTCATTCTCTAATTTCTTTTTCTCATCTTATTGCCAAAGCTAACATTTCTAGTATCATGTTAATAAATAATGGTTATAGTGGGCATCCTTGCTTCACTACAGATCCATTGGGAATGCTTTCAGTATTTCTCCATCATAGATAATGCTGGCTTTTGGTTTTATAGAAATTCTTTTGAATATATTAATGAGAGATTATTTCATTCCTATACTTAAAAAAGTCCAGGGATTTTTAGTGTTTAGTATGAATGAGTGTTATATTTTAATGAAGGATTTTTCTGCATCTATTAATATAATAATGTTGTTATAATACTTGGAATGCTCCTACTTTCACATGGTCTCCCTAGTAAAGCAACACCAGGATCAGGGTGTTCTGTGACTCTTCATCTACTCAAATCTGTGGCTGATGCAACAAGATGGCTCATTGGATAGAGTGCTGGGCCTGCAGTCAGGAAAATCTGAGTGCAAGTCCAACCCTAGACACTTATTAGCTGTGTGACCTTGGGCAAATCACTTTGTTTGCCTCAGTTTCCTCAACTGAAAAATGGGGATAATCATAGCACATACCTCCCAGAGCTGTTGCAAAGATCAAATGAGATGATATTTGTAAAGTGCTTAACACAGTGCTTGGCACTTAGTAGGTGCTATGTAAATGCTTATCCCCTTCCCTGATGAACTCTTCTCTGCCCCTTCCTTAAATCTGTTTACTTTTACTAGTCAGAAGGAGACAGTAGCAAAAGCATTTAAAGCATTAACAGCATTTAAAGAGTGTGATCAGAATAGTAGCAATAGAATATTCCTCCCATAAGCTTGGGACACTCCTACCAGTATATATACCATCACTGGAAACAATGTGAGGAACACACGTGTATGGAATACTCGTGGCCAGTGCACATCTTGATGACGAATACAAAAAGAGGGCATGTGCGTGACCATGGTACACATGTGGAGGGCCATATACTTAGGGAATATGTGTGTCCAGGGTACGTGTGTGGATGGGCAACTTAGGTGTTTGGTATCATAGGGCTGCTCTTGTCTTGTAGTGGTGCACTCCTCTTTGTGGGCCTGCTTCCCAGGGGGCACTGATGTTTATAATATCATTTTACCACTGCTTTCCATTGGGCATTGCATCACATCTCTCTGCTGACACCCACTAGGCTTCAACTGCAGTCCTCAGTTACCACTTAGGAGAAGTGGTTTCTCCCATCCCTTTTGAAGTTTAGAGTGCAAAAAGAGCTTCAACTGTCTTTCAAAGACAGGGAGGTACCTCTCACACTAGGACTAGGAAAGAAAACCCAGGTTCTTTATCTCCATAAAGAGAGCAATCTCTCAGTTCCCAGGGTCTTAGCCTCCAGAGTCCAGGCTATCTTGGAACACAGATAGCCCAGATGCATTTATACCATATTCTGAACTCCTTCTTGTTGTTAGAAGGCTCCTAATTCTTGTCCTAATCCTCTATTTGACTTAAAGTTAGAAGGTCTCTTTTAGAGGCAGCATGGTGTAGTAGATAAGGCACAGGCCTTGGAGTCAGGAAGACCGATATTCAAATCTCACCTCAGGTACTTATTAGGTGTGTGACTGGGCAAATCTCTTAACAGCTTGATGCCTCAGTTTCCTCAACTGTAAAATACTCTCCCTTCCAGATCTAAATCTCCTATTCCATGATTCTTTAAATTCTAGCCAATTCCTATTATCAACCCACATCCCTCCAAACAATTTTAGGAATTGTCTCTCAAAAAAGTGCAAAGCTTACGTGTAGATCTGAGCTGCTACTCAGTAATCTTACAGTAAAACTGGATAAGTGGAGAGAAGCAAGAATAAAGCTAAATAAAGTTGGCAAAATTGTTATCCACCCTCCTGGGCCATATTCCTGCCTTTATTATGCACATGTAGGCAGCAATAGCCTCTTCACATTATTCTGATTATTAATGTGATTTATTATGCTAATTGTTTTTCCTAATATTGTACGGTCTTTGCATTTCAAATAAATTCTCTCCATTAGATTTTTAAATTGTTATTAGTGTAAAGTACTATAATTCCTGTTTAACAGTACATCTTGTTCCCATCACTCACTCGTGGCTGCTCCTTTCCTGTCCATACAAAACAGAGATAAAGTTTATCTTTGTAACAATCCAATCTCAATTATACCCCTCCTTCCCACATCAAAGATAAGTGTCAGGATTCTATTTTTGCTGTAAGAGCTTTTAAAAAAAATTTCTTCCTCAAAAAGCAGGGACGAGTGTGGTTTTAGAATGATCCCCTCTTTCCTCCTACCCACATCATTGTTTGTTTAAACTTTGCTTGTGGTACCCCCTATCAAGTAATATTATTTTACTTCCCCACTCTTTCCTTCAGTCCTCCAGATGATCTAGTTACATCTCTTTCCCCATTCTGGGCTTCATCTTTCTGTTTAGCCTTATACTAAGTGTGACTTTAAAAGTACCACAGGTTTATGACCTCCCTACAGAAACTACATCCACATCTAGATTACCTTTTATATTTTTATCTACTTGGTATATTTGCTTGACAAAGCTTCTGCCCAATTCTGGCTTAATTAAGGAGGAAATAATTGAATTAATGACATTGTTGAAAAAGAAATCTTTTCTAATGATGGGAGTGTGCTTGTTTTTTTTTTTCAGGACATGTAATTTTGGGGTTCAGGTTCTTAATATGTCACATTTCAGCATCCTCCATACCTCTTCATTGAGTAGCCATAAATATTTTGAATGAGTGATTTTAAGTAGATGAATTGCTTCCTCCTTGTTGCTTAAACAATTTTTATTTGATATTGTAGCTCTGGACTTGGCACCAAATTTCTTTAGGAGTCAAATTGAGGATTCCTTTCTGTTGGCATCCTATGGATTCTAGTGATTGGTGGTCTGCCTTCAGTTTCTGATATTTCCAGAAATTATTTTAAAATAATTTTTAGAGTATAATATTCAGACTTTTAAAAATTCTTTGGGGGGGGTAGCCATAATTTTCACATTGTCTCGCTAGGTTCCTTCTTTCATCTCTATAGATTTGGTTTGTGGATATTGGAGATCTTTTAGTTTTCCACATTTTTATTTTGCTCTGTTGTTTGTGGCTTGCCCTGGGGCTTGGGGCCTCTCTAAAAGCCCCCTGGGGTGCAGCTTGCCGCTACTGCTCTCTGACCTTACTCCCTTCCCACCCCAATGAGACAGAACTTTCCTACTGACCCTTAAAGCCGTTCTGGGCTAGTAAGCTGCTTCTCTGCTTCAAAATTTTATCTGAGGCTTCATTGTAAGGTTGTTTGGAGGGGAATTTGGGAGGGCTTCAGGAAGTTCCTTCTTCACTCCACTTGGAAGTTCCTATAATCTCCTTCTGACTAGTTGTCCCACCCTCTTACCATCTGTAGACTGAGAGCTCCCCAACCTACTGCTGATACAACTGCCCCTAAGGCCCACTGATGGCTTGCCAGGCCAGGCCTGTGCTGCATTGCATACCAGGCCTGACTACCACCATGGGAAGACAGATCTTTCCTGTTGACCTCCTAAATTATCTGGGGCTAGAAAATTGTTTTACCTCAATGTTTTGCTGGTTCTGCTGCTCCAGAATTCGAGGCATTATTTTAAATTTGTTTGGAGGGGAATTTGGGAGGGCACAGGTGAGTTCCTGCCTTTTCTCTGCCATCTTGGTTCCTCCCCCTCCTCATGCACATTTAGAGAGATGTCCCTTTACCCTACACTGAGGGGGAGCACCTAGGGGAATTGTGTTGGCCCTGTGCTATTCAACATATTTTATCAATGACCCAGATAAAGGTAAAGATGATATGCTCATCAACTTTGTCAATGACACAAAGTTGGGAGGGGTGACATAATGTCATGATGGGTGACAGAGTCAACATTTCAAAGGTTCTTGACAGGCCATTTCAGAGCATCTTGATTGGTCTGAATCTAATGAAATGAAACCCATTAGGGATAAATGTAAAGTCTTGCTCTTGGGTTAAAACCCCCCCCAACAACTTCATAAATAAATGATAAAAGAAGCATGATTATACAGCAATTATTCTGAAAAAGAACTGGAATTTCATTGGGTTGCAATACTAATATGAGCAGCAATATAATGTGGTAGCCAAAAAAGCCATTCCACTTCTGGATTGCATTAATAGAGGCATAACTTCCAGGAACAGAAAGATGATAATTCTACTGCACTCTGTCCTCCAGGACTCATCTGGAGGATTGTGTCCGTTTCTGTACACTACAGTTTAAGATAGACACTGATAATCTTGATAAATAAAGAAGAGTAACCAGGATGTTGAAGGGCCTTGAGTGGATGGCATATGAGAGTTGGTTGAAGAAACTGGACACGTGTAACTTAGAGAAGACTCAGTACAAAATGACCAGTATGGAAATGTTTTACATGATTTCACACGTATAACCTATATCAGATTGTATACCGTCTCAGGGAGGTGAGAGGATAGGGAGGAATGGGTAGAATTTGGAACTAAAAACAAAACAAAACAAAAACCAACCAATGAATGTTAAAAATTGTTCTTATGTGTAATTGGGGGAAAATAAAGTATTATTTAATAAAAGAAGAAGAGGATGAACAAGTATTTGTTGTGTAAACTACAGTGGTGATTCTTTTCATGTATGGGTTGGGCTAGATGGTTGCTAAGGTCCCTTCCTACACTCAACTTATGTAGGACACAGAACAAACTTTTGTTGGTTAGATAGATTATTCTTTCTTAAAATGTATATAATAATATATTATGTTCATAATTTTATTTATGATTTTTCCATTAGTTTCTGTTTTGCCATATTTGAAGTCAGTAGAGACCTGGGTTTAAATGCCCCCTCCTCCTGAAAATTTTTAACAGTGGGACCATGAGCAAGTCTCTGACTTTCAGTTTCCCCATCTGTAAAAAGGGATAATAATGTCCATAGTACTCTTTTCATAGGGTTGTTATAAAGATCAAATGAGATAATATGCATAAAGCATTTTATAAATCTAATATATAAATATTAGTTATCATTACTATTTGTTGTTGCTGGTTATTAAGTTAATTTTTTTAAGAGTGGCTATCTTAGTAAATTAAAGCTTCTCATAATCAAGGACTATGTCTTATATTTATATATTGGGTTGTAAAGCCCTCTGCCTAGAATACTACTAGGCACATGGTAGGTATTCTATGAAATGGTAGACTTCTTGGGGACAGGCTCTATCTCTTGTTTCAACTCTGCATTTTTAGGACTTAGCACTTGAACATAGGAGACAATAAACATTTGAGGCACTGAGTTGAATAAATAAGTGGTTTTGGTTGAGAAGTCTCTTTGTTGAAATTCCATAAAGAATAACATGGCAAGCAGTTGGCTAGATCTTTGACAGGCTATTTTTTAAAATTGCACTTTTAATTTGTATTTTTTCAGCTGCTCACCTGGCTCTGAAAAAGTCCATTGCAAAGATCCAGGCAATGATTACAGATCCAGAGAAAGCACTGGGAAAAATGCACAAGGAAGACAAGGTATCTTGCTTGGCTTTTATTCTGAGAACCCCCATACTCCTAGATCTTGATGATAGCCGCATGTATAGGGACTATTGTGGTTTTCATGAATTACTTCATGAATGAACAAATGAATGAATAAAGCATTTATTAAAAAAAAGCTCTATGCTAACCATGGTGGGGTGCTAATTAAATAGTAAGGCAATCCATGCTCACAAAGAGCTCACGTTCTCATGGGGAGGATAATGTATATGGAAAGTTTCAGATGGAAAGGTCCCATGGGTGCAGCAGCAAAGCAGATGGTAATGCCTCTTCTTTAATGTCATTTCCACTGATAAAGTGATATCATTTTTTATCTTATTTAATCCATGAGATAGTCCTGTGGGGTAGGTAGTGCAAATTATATATTATTATGCTTATCTAAAAGAAGAGTAAAACTAATAGACAAAAGAATGGCTAATTCACATAATCAATCAGTCAATAAACATTTATTAAGCACCTCCTATGCACCAGGCCCTGTGCTTTAATTAATTATTTTTGCTTTATTGATTAATTAATTTTAAACATTTAATTAATTAATAGCATAACCATTCAGTAAGAGAGCAGGGCTTTTGACTAAGGCCTCCTGAATCCACATGCAGTGTTTTTGGCTTCACCACCCCTGTTTCCATCTTGCATCTCCACTTCTCCATTTTGCAATTAGGTTCTGATCCTCAGCAGCTATTACTGCTATTATTACATGACAGCCTCTGATGAGTTAGGGGCTCATTAAGGTCAAAATAGATAGTTATTGAGTGACTTGGAAATGTGTCGAACAAACCAAAAAGATCCTATGTGGAACAAAAGACTTTAGTGTTCCTGAGATACATACTCCGATTGCCAAAAATATGTTTGTGTTTAGGGTCCTGAACTCATGAATTTTTCTGCACAGTTTTCTGGGTCTTCCCCAAGGGACTTTATACTTCTGTGAAAAAGGAGAACTTGAAGCAGCCCCCTCTGCCCTGAAACAGTCTGATATCACCCCCTTCAAATGGCACCTATCAAGCCTGAGCAAGTGAAACACTCTAGAAATGATTGCAATGTGTAGTGAGGCTTCTCCGTGGCTTGGTCAGCAGCCCATAGATAAGAGAATTTTGTGGATCTGGTTACCACAGATTCTTTATGATGAATAATCGTAACCAAAAAATACTTTCTTTGACCCCTATATATAATAGGCCATACTTTCTAATGAAATAACCACATTGTACATCATTTGCATTGTAGGGGAAGATAGGAAACTAAGGTAAAACTATGTTCTGTACCATTTCTTTTCCAGTTACCAAGCAACAGTAACTCTTTATGTGTCCTTATCTCTCCTCATCCCAAACATCAAAAACTCTTCCATCATAAAACCCCTTCTTAAAATCACAATTTCTTGCTCTTCCCATCCCCAAAATATTCAGAACTGTGAAATAGAAAAGTACAACGAATGGGGGTGAATTCATCTACATATGCCTTCAACTTTTCCCCTTCTGTGTTAGCACAGAATAGTGTTTCTTTTCACATGTAACTTTATTACAAAGAGCACTGGTATCTATCTGCTCTATTCCCTTTCCAACTTCTGCAAACTGGGCATGCATTATTTGTTTTTACAGTATCTATGAATTTTAACATGTTCAGGGATAGCAAGGAGTTACCCCTAAGGCATTGAAGGGTGTCTTTTTCTGCTTCTTTATAGGTGGCAAGCTCCCACTGGTTTGCTCTCTTAATTATCTATTTGTCAAACAGACCTAAATAGTTTTTAGGAAAGAATATATATTGAGCTGGAGCAGTAAGGAAAGTTTGTATAAAACATCCCTCCAAAAGCTTATGATACACACTCTCTCCCAACAAATACATACAGAGTCCAGGGGAAAGTGGGCTCAAGCCTAGAGAGCATATATGCCAAAGGAGTAGCTTAGGTCCTGGAAGTCCTCAACATATTCATTTTTAGATGTGGTTTAGTTTTTCTGCTGAGCTCTTTGTAGCACTGAATCTTAATTTAATCTTTCCATGGCTCCTGACACAGTCATTCCTCTCAGTTGTTCCAGAGATGCTGCTAAGAGGCCAATGGGAATCCCATGGAACCTCTGAAGTTGAGACGGTTCTTCTCCTGCCAAGGTGGAGATGGGAGGAGGAGAAAGGAAAGGAGGGAAAGCAAGGCCGAAGCCTGTGTTCTTTCTTCAGGCAGCTTCTTCTTCGGGAGCATAGATGGAGTACCCTGTCCTTGTTTGCGGCTTGCTGGAACCCAAATCTCTGAGAGATGCTTTTTAATAACCTGAATTCTGAACTGGCTTTTTTTTTTCTAGATGATCTATGAAACAGGACTGAGTCTCCTTCCTGAGTGTGCCCCCAGTACTTTCTAAGATATTTCCCTCTTAATTTAATTGTTTTACTGATTGACAAAGACTTGTTCTCACCTTATTAAAGAATAATATAAGGGTATCTTATCTTTTATTTTTGTGAGGATTGTGTGACTTGATTGATTTACTCAAAGGTTCTTTTTGTATCCCCATGCTTAGCACAGTGACTGGCAAATAGTCAGTGCTTAATAAATGTTTATTGATTCTGACTGACTGATTAATCCCACCTTCCACAACAAAATGGGCAAAATGGGCAGCCAAGTGGTGCCATGGTGCATAGAGCACTGGGCCTGGAGTCAGGAAGACGCAGCTCCCTGAGCTGAACTCTGGCCTCAGACACTTAATAGCTATGTGACCCCAGGCATGTCACTTAACCCTGTTTGCCTCAGTTTCCTCATTTGTAAAATGAACTGGAGAAGAAAATAGCAAACCACTCCCGTATCTTTGCCAAGAAAACCCCAGACGAGGTCACAAAGAGTCAGACGTGACTGAACAACAAAAATTCACAACAGAAAGATCATTTTAAATATTTTTTTGGAAAAAAAGGAGAATCAAAGAAGGTTACTAACGGTAGATGGGATGGTGATAATAGGCAAGAGAGAGAAGGCAGCGCTTCAGTATTTCATCCTATCATCCCCTTTTCACACCTATGCAAATACATCTGCATCCCAAAGAGAGACCTGGACACAAATTCCACCCCCTATATTTATATAAATGACCACGGGTAAGTCACTCAACCTCTCTAAAGTTTTCCCATATTTATATGATTTCCCCTGTATCCCTATAAATCATTTTCCTCATCTATCAAATGGGATAATAATAGGACTTACATTATAGGATTGTTGTGGAGAATCAAATGAGATAATATAAAGTATTTTGCAAACCTCAAAGCACTATATAAATGTCAAATGCCATTTTTATGGGTAAGTTGGCATAGGCCACTACCACCTCAAATTATGAGAGGGACTACTGTTTCCCTGGCAACACTATTTGGTGTTTTCATGGGGTTGTTTATAGTGGGAGGTTTGAGTTGTTGACCATTTAGCAAGCAGAATTAAAAGCCCCCATTTCCTCTTTAGAACTTGCTCATTAATGCCTGCCGGGCCAAAATAGAGTGGCTTGAGCTCCATCCAGAAACAACTGTAGAAGAGCTTTTTGAACAAAAGCAGCAACTGGAAGACCTTGTAAATCCTATTTTGGTGAAAATGGCCACACCACGTGAGTATTAAACAGTAGAACTGTTCAATGAAAAAATGCCAGAAAGGATGAAAATTAAGGGAAAATGTTTTTAAGATGTCCTAATTTCTCAATGCTTTTTTTTAACCATCTATAGTCATAGATGCTTCTTGATCTTATCATTACTAATTGATCCATTAGTTTAAAAGTAGTTGTAGTTCTCTATTATAAATGATACCAACTTACTTAACCTCTTCGATGCCTGCTTTTACTAAGATTAATGTCATTCCACTGACATAATTTCATACTGGATGTCAAATGCTATTTTTTTAACCATTTACACACTTCATTGACCTGGAAAATCTTAGAATATTTAGTCAATTAAGTGTGTTATATACAGATACATGTGACATATATGCACGTGTATGTTATATAATGTGTTAAGGTGGAAATATCACTGGAATAGGAGTCAGAAGAACTGAATTCTAATCTAGGAGCTTTGACTAACTTTCTGTGTGATGTTGGACAAGTCATTTAGCCTTTTTGAGCCTTTGTGTTCTCATATGTAAAGGGAAGACATTGGATTAAATGACCTACGATGTCCTATTAGTTCTAAAGACTCAGATTCTGATTTGATATGTAATAAGGCATTGCTCCTCTGGATCTAGCCCCTTATGCCTTCCCTTCTGGAAATATTTGAAAAAGCAGTTCAAGGTCATTTGTACAACCTGACCCAAATGGCCTGGAGGAAGATAGGAGATTGGGGGGCGGTGTGGGGAGGAGAATGGAAAGCCAGTAGATGTGCTTCTCCAAATCTCAGAAGACTGAGTTGGAGGGGCTGATATGAATGGAAGGCAATGCTGTCCATGTTCTGGAAAAGGTAGGAATTAAACGGCTACTTCTAGAGTAGCATAGGTATACAATACATTACTAGTAAATGATCATAATAATTTAGTGTTTTATAAATCCAAAGATCTAAGCTTTTGGGACAGAAACTAACTATTTGACAAAAACTGCTGGGAAAACCGGAAACTGTATGACATAAAGTAGGTATAGACCAACATCTCACACTGTATATCAAGATACGGTTAAAATGGGTACATAATTTAGACACAGAGGATGATGCCATAAGCAAATTAGGGAAACATGGAATAGTTTACCTGTTAGATTTATAGATAAGGGAATGATTTAGGACCAAACAAGATATAGAGAGAATTAAGAAATATGAAATGGATAATTTTGATTATATAAAATTAAAGGTTTTTTGCACAAACAAAGCTGATACAACCAAAATTAGAAGGAAAGCAGAAAATTAGGGGAAATTTTATGACAAGTATCTCTGATAAAAGCCTCATTTCTCAGCTATGTAAAGAACTGAGTCAAATTTATAAGAATACAAGTCATTCCCCAATTAATAAGTGGTCAAAGGATATAAACAGGCAGTTTTTAGATACAGGAATCAATACCATCTATAGCCGTATGAAGAAATGCTTTAAATCACTACTGATTAGAGAAATGCAAATTAGAACAACTCTGAAGTATCACCTCACACCTATCAGAATGGCTAATATGACAAAAAGAAAAATGCTAACTTTTGGAGGGGATGTAGAAAAACTGAGATGGACACTAATGCATTGTTGGTGGAGTTGTGAACTGATCCAGTCATTCTGGAGAGCAATTTGGAACTCTGCCCAGAAGACTATCAAACTGTGCATACCTTTTGATCCAGTAATATCACTACTAGTTCTGTATTCCAAAGAGATTAAAAAAAGGGAAAAGGGCTCATTTGTACAAAAATATAGCAGCTCTTTTTAGTGTCTATGAATTGGAAATTGAGGGGATGCCTGTCAATTGGGGAATAGCTGAACAAGCTGTGATATTTGATTGTAATGGAATATTATTGTGCTGTAAGAAATGGTGAGCAGGTGGCTTTCAGAAAGATCTGGAAGGAGTTACAGGAACGGATGCAGAGTGAAGTGAGCAGAATCAGGAGAATATTGCACACAGCAACAGCAATACTGCACAGTGAACAGCTTTAAGTGACTTAGCTGTTCTCAGCATTACAATGATTAGAATCCCAAAGGACTCATGATGAAAAATCCTGTCCACCTCCAGAGAAAGAACCGATGGTGTCTGAATACAGATTGAAGTATACTATTTTTTACTTTCTTTCTTTCTGAGTTTTTTTCCCTGCAAAATGATTAATTTGGAAATATATTTTATATGATTGCATATGTATAACCTATATCAGGTTGCTTACTGTCTCAGGACGGGGAGAGGGAAGGAAGAAAGGGATAGAATTTAGAACTAAAAACTTAAAATAAAAGAATGTTAAAACTGTTTTTATATGTAATTGGGGGAAAATGAAATATCATTTTTTTAAAAATGGCTACTTCACTATGAGTTAACTTTGATCTCACTCAGCCTCACTATGACTTAATCTAGAGTGGGGAATAGGTATTTATACATTCCGTGATAGAACATAGGAAAGAAGTGTTCTAACAACTACCTGAAGAAACTCTTTGTTCAGAAAGAGTGGCCAAAGGATAAAAGGTGAGGACAGGATACTGTGAAGGTGATTTAGAACAATTTGAACTTGTAAAGGTCAGAATTTGGGGAGGAGAAATTTGGGAGAAATTGAAGATAAATAGATAATTTCTAAGTTCAGATTCTACTTCTGTTTCTTGTGGGAAAAGGTGGCAGGAAGCACTGTGGGAAAGGAGACGAGGACTTAAACTGAATTAGGAGAAATAAATTTCGAAGGTGTCTTTGAGGAATTTGGGCTTATGAAAAAGGCCAGATCCTGAATTTGAAAGGGAGAAATTCGATAGAACTCGAGAATAAGGTAAAGGTGAACATCTTCAGTTGTAGGAAGAGAAGAACTCGGTATGAGCATGGATCAGAAAAAAAGAAAACAATTAAGAAGCTAAATAGGACTCAAAGGAGAATGAAAAGAAGTTGGTTGGCAAAGGAAGATAAGCAAGATAAATAAGAAGTCTGTGAGAAAAGGGTAAGGAAGTAGGGCGTGGCTAAGAATTATTGAGACAAAGGGAAGAAAGTGGAGTATGATTGTACAGTTGTGAAAAGCAGAAGTTGGGCTATAAAAGTGAAGTGTAAGCGCTCCAGGGTCATTAAAAAACAAGGCTGAATATCTCAGGATCAGAACCAGGCATAATTTTGCAGTGATTTGCACTGAGTCTATAAATGTTTGTATTTCTGCCACAGCCAAGTGATTTATGTATGTTCCAAGACTGTATTTATTTTCTTCCTAGAAGAGAGGGGAAGGGATGCAAGGAACACCTCTCCACATTCCAGACTAACAGGAAGAGTGAAATATTCTGAAAAACAAAACAAAACAAAAAACCCCCCACAGTAATAGGGCTTCCATGGGGGAAAAGAATCTTAGCACAGTGCATGGCATGTGGTAGGTGCTTCACAAATTGACTGATTGATTGAAGTGGCAGAGGGGAAATATGAACCTTGTCAGGAAAAATGTCACATGGAAAAGGAGATGAAAAGGACAGATGTACACGAGGAGCTATAAAACAAATGTGAGACTCTTTCTGAAGAATGGGGTGCAGGAAATTCTGATGGGTAAACAGCTCCCCCTCCACATAGAAATGATAGCATGTAGCCACAGAAGCGAGATAATACAGGAAGGATCAAAGGAAGAAGACCATCACGCTGGTGGTTGATGACTTCCTGCCAGGATTACCGAGACAGCTATTTTTTGACTTGGCAGCGACAATAAAAAGAACTGTTGTCTTCTTAGGGCTTGTAACCAGAACTCAACAGAGTATGTTCCATGTGCTATCAAAACAAATGACTATCCTCTTCTGGTGATTCACTTGGGTATGATGATATTGCTAGAAGGAACCTAGAAAATATTGCCAAAGATTACAGTGTCTTAGGCAAGAAACTGAAAATCACAGAGGATGTAGATTGCATTTTCCTTGAAAAATTGGTTCAGGAGGAGATTGATGAAAATGGGATTTGGATTTCTGTACCACCGCTTAAAATAGTGAAATGCTAAGCTCTTGGTCAGGGATAGAGCACACCTAACAAAGGCTGGCAAAAAATATATTTGCCCAATGTCTTGCAAATTTAATAAAAACCCTTTACATAAAAAAGGATAGGGAAGGGATAAAAGTGCCTGTATATCTGCCTTAAGCTACAGAGGGGTAACAAAGATGGAAGCAGCAGCTGGAATTCCCAGAAGTGCACAGGAGACAAAAGTCAAGAAAGGATACAGCAGTAAAACTGATGGCCTTATTTGTCTAATCTCTGCAAATGTCCAAAGGTTAGGCAACAAACGAGAGGAACTAGAGGTCCTAACACATGTAGGGAAATTCGATCTCATAAGTATCACTTAAATTTGGTGGGATGAAACCCATGGCTGGAATATGGCTTGGAGATTATACTTCATCCAAAAGAAACCAGATTGGTCAAAAGGGATAGGGGATAACATTATGTATTAAAAAGTATGTACATGTGAAAAAATCCAGGAACCAGAGAGGGGAAATCTGGGAACTAGCATGTTGGAAAGTATTTGAGTGCTATCAATGGAAAGAGAAGGAAAAGAATTTTTTTTTGTTTTGTTATTGGAGTATACTGTAGATAGAAAGAGGAACTTAGATGAGGAGTTCAGGAAATAGGTCATGAGCCTAACACAAACGTATCATATAGTAGTGATGGGGAATTTATTTATTTTGAAATCTGCTTGAACTCTCTCTCCTCAAAACAGAGTAACTAATGATTTCTTAGTTGGCTTTAATGATTAAAAATGGTAGAAAAACCAACAAGGAAGAATTCTGTTCTGGATCTGATTCTCATTAAGAGGAGGAACTGATTCCTGGGGTAGAGATAGTGGGAACAGTGCAGGGAAGAGACCACTCTGTCATTGAATCTGTGACAAAGTCACAGGAAAGTCACGCACCCAAGATTTGGGGAAAGTTGATTTCGAAGGGTTCAAAAGAAGCATAGGTAGGGTCCTATGAATTAAAATTCTGTGGGGGATGGAGTGGGGTGGGGAGGTCAGTTGAGGAGGGATGGGAAGCTCTCAAGAATAAAATTGAGAAGAACAAAGGGAAACCTTTCAAGTAAGGAGGAAAGACGAGAGGTATCTGAAGAGACTGATATGGATCCACAGGGAACTTAAACACCCAAGTTAGAGTTTTAAAAGCTATGTATAGAAGATGGAAGCATAAATAAATATAAGAGCATGATATGTTCCTATGAAAACAGTATCAGGTGTGCTAAAGCTCAAAATAAGTTGGAGTTGGCCAGGAAATCTAATAACAATGAAAAGAATAAGTAAAGAGATATCTAATTGCCTGTGATGAATTCAAGTTGTGTGGCCCAAAGACAGTGTTGAGGACTAAAAGAACTGGTGGTTATGATTGCTAAGCTACTGTCAGAGTATTCAAAAAACTGTGGAGAATGGAAAAGGTGCAACAAGACTGGAGAAAGGCAAATCTTTTCCTGAGTTTCAAATAAAGGGAAAACTATAAGCCAGTGAGTTTGACTTTGATTTCTGGGAAAAGTCTAGAATGGCTCATAGAGATGGTGAGTGAGCATCTACCAAAGCAAGCCGTGCTTTCCAAGAGCCAGTTATGTCAAGCTAGTCTTTTTCCCTAATTTGTTGGGGTCACTCAGTTGATACATCAGGAGAATGCAATATGCGTAGGTCACCTTAATTTTACCAAAGCATTTAATAGAGTTTCTCATGTTATTCCTGTGGAAAAGATGTGGAGATGAAGATTTGAGATGTAGTAGTTTCAATTTAATGATTAAATATTAACGATTCAATATCAGTGTGGCTGGAGGTCTCCAGTGGAGTGCCCCAGAGATCCGTGGTTGGCATTGCTGTTCAAAATCTTTTAATCAGTGGCTTGGTTAAAGGTATAAATGAAATGCTTATGGGTTTTGCAGATGACATAAAGCTGAGAGAAATAGCTAACACACTAGGTGACAGAGTCAGGATCCAAAAAGATGTTGGCAGGGTAGAGCATTGAGTTGAAGCGAATATGATGAAATTCAATAGGGATGAGTAAAAGCTTCCTATTTCCTGAGTATAGGATCGGTGTGGGAGTGGGATATGGGCATGGTAGACAGAAGTTTGTATGAAAAGCATCAGGGATGGTTGGTGGATCACAGCAGTGTGATGTTGACAGACAAAATAGCGAATGCTATCTTTGGCTATGTTAGAGAGGCATAGGGATGGGGACTGCACCTGGATAACTGCTCTTCTGCCAATGCAAGGTGTAAACTTCTCTGCAAATTAGTCTTGGAGAGTTGCCTAGAGCCCTAAGAGTGACTTGGCCAGGGTCACACAGCCAATAGATGTCAGTGATAGGACTTGAACCCAGGTCTTCCTGACAACAATGCCAGGTCGTTATCCATTATGCCATGCTGCTTCTTGGAGGCATAGCTTTTAGGAGCAATGTGATCACACCTCTATACTTTGCCTTGTTCGGAGCACATCCAAAGGAAAGTAGCTATGATGGGGAAAGGCTTTGTGTCTAAGTCCCCTGAGGATCAGTTAAAGGAACTGGGGATTTTTAGCCTGGAGAATAGAAAGGTAGAGACATGATTGTTATATTCAAATATTTGAAAGATCGTCATATGGAAGAAAAATTAGATTCATTCTGTTTGTCCCCAGAGGGCAGAACCAGAAACAGTGATGAGAATTACAAAGAGGCAAATTTAAACCTGATGTTAGAAAGAACTTCTGAATAATTATAGCCATCCACAAAGTACCATGTGTTCTGCCATGCAGAGGGGCACTTGCATACTTCTCTCCCTCTCAGTTCCACTGCTCCCAGGTCCCTGTTTCATGGACCATCATCTCCTTATTACCAAAAGCATGGACCTAAAGAAGGTGGTGGGACATACACAGCCCCAAGACGAAGAGGCAAGGGGTATGGAACCTCTAGACAGGGCATCAGTACAGACTCAGAGTGGCAAGGAGTTCTAGGTACTGAGGATCCAGGAAACAGAGAAGTATAATGTGGAGGAACAAACCCAAACTTTGCCCTTTGCTGGTTCTGTGAATCATGCAAACTATGTAGATCCAAGGGGAAGGTTGACTTTGTAGCAATCCTGTTGTTTCCCCATCTGAAAAGGTGAAGCCTATTAGCAGAGGAGGATTTATTGACTCCCTAACAAACCTAAGCCATGCAAGAGAGTGCTATAAGACAGAATGACTGTATGGGTCCCTGTGGAATGAGGAAGAACTTTCTTGATTGACTGTTGACTCAGATGTGAGTTCTTTGTCAGGCTAAATAAAACCTGCCCTATATTTAATGTCTTGTTAGTCTGAGTGCTTGCAAGGGAGCCAAGAGTTCTTTTTGGGAAAATAAAATTGTCTAAATACTGTTTTTCCTAGGGTTTCTCTGGGTGAGAAATGGAGATTTTTTTTTTAATGTGTGAGAGACAGAGACCAAAAACTTATAATTATTCCCAGGATTTCTGTCCATGTGTTCATGGGCCAGAGAGATCTTGTTAGATCTTCTTAAAATTATACCTATGTCCTTAAGGTTGGTGGTCCAGAACCCAAATGACATAAGAGGAACATAAGGTAAATGTGGTCTCAAAGTTTAAGGTAAAAACAGGAACATTTTTAGAATGACACATATATAGTTACAACCTTTGTATTCAACTAATAACTGATTATGCTTAGGATATGTAATTTTTTTCTTTGAATATTATTTCTTGAACTTTTTTAGCTAATTTAACGTTGGAAATAAATTAAATTTTGTTAAATCTGCTTACTTCCAGGTCCAGTGAAAAGTGCCAAATGATTCTACCTTCTCACGAATGTATATTTGTATAAATATATTTTTAAAGAAGCCTTTTTGTTTAACACTCCAAAAGAAAAACCTTCAAGTACTAATGGAAAATAAGATAAAAGTGTTATTTCTAAAATTCAAAATAAAACTTTAGCTCTTTTATTATACCCTGGTAGCATGTTGATAGCACAGATTTCTTGAGATTGCATCCATATCAAATAAACAGACCATATCCCGTTTTTGATTCTTTTATAGCAGAGTTCTCGTATGGGGAATAGTTGGATACACTAAAATGTTTCCAAGGCCACTGAAGTAACAAAACCCTCAAGGAGAATGGGAAAGCTTGGTTGGAGGCCTCAAACATGCAGTAAGCAGTTATTAGACCATTGGCCATTTTTCTTTGAGTCTGCTCGCCCTAGTACTAATATTGTTTGATTCCATAATACCAGACAGATAAGACAGGTGGTTTTTCCATGACTTCACTCCTAGGAATGCATACAAAACAAGGTTCCCTGACTGTCTATTCCAGTCAAGAATCGTCAGTGGGAACCATAGAGCATTTATACCCAGGACAGTACCCAGGCTTCATAAAGACAACTTGCTTATACCTGCAAAGCCTTGAAGAATGGCATTGATTGGTCTAGCAATGCCAGTGGTTTTTTGTCATCATCATAGCCCATTGTTAAATAGCCTATCTTTAAATAATTGAATACTGGCCCACCAAAGCAGAGATGCCAGGTGCCATTTCCTAAACTAACCATATTTTTGCGTGATTTACTGATGACACTCACACAATGCTTTATTGTTTTGCAGTGGATGCCAACAAGGGTATAAATTCAGCACATTCTTTGGTACATTGTATACCGAAGCTGTATGTATGTATGTATGTATGTATGTATCTCTCTTTCTGTCTATTGAGAAGTGGTTCCTAACGTGTTCAGTAGACCACAGCTTGGAGATGGGGGCAAGGCGACTGCCAATCCATACATGCACCAAGCATCATCATTTTGCCATTACTATTTTTTTAATCAATGGATACTAATAATGCAACTACTATCATGTGGGTACAGAGGAAGGAAGCTGGCAGGGTGCAACCTTATATTTTTATGGCTACATCACACTGAGTATAAAGTTTAGAAATCCCTCAGATGTTTTATTTACACAGCACAAAATATTAAAAAAAAACTTTCAAGAGTGGATTGAAGACACATAGAACTTTAGAGCTAGGCATGATTAATCAATTCACAAGCATGTGTTAAGCACTTACTATGTGCTTGGTTCTGGAAATCCAGAGACAAAATTGAAGTCTTTGATCTCAGAAACCATATTAAAGTTTGGGATAGCTAAAGAGAGCTTACCTTAATATGTACCCTATACTTGAGGAGAGTTGATTTTATGGGAAGATAGTTGTTTGCTAGGACACAGAGGGTTCCAGATGCCCTGCAAACACCCAGTTGTGGTTTAGAGATAGAATCCCCTCTATACCACCTCATCTAACCCAGGAATCCTCAAAGAGATCCCCAGAGTCCTACAGAGATCCTGGAACAGACAAGCTGAATCAGGTCAAGGGGAGAACACAGAGGCCAACTCCTAGGTGGAGGCTTCCAGGAAATTGCAGCACTTCCTGACAGAAGCTTTCTTTAAGCTCTGTGGTTGGCTGCCAGAGCCCAGCTCAAAGAGAATAATCTTGTGGTAATCTAGATTACTGACCTGAACCAAATAGAGTTTGAGACTAGTGTAGTCCTAATGCCTGAACCCAACCCTAGCCTAGAAGAGAAGGCAGCCTTCTGGTGTTCTGCAACAATGGTGTGAGCCAAGCTTCAGGAGAAAGGCTGTAGCAGAATCCAGCCCTAACAGACTCAGAAGCCTGTGGCAGGAGCAGCCCCTGAGCCCTGCAATAAGGGGAAAGAACCTCAGAAGGAGCCTTCAGCAGGGAGATGTCCCAGAACTCTGTGACTAAAGGGAGCTCCTAGGCAGAGCCCAGCACCATAGGAGCCCCTGAGAAGGACCTTAGTCTGACCCACTCAACTCGGGATCAGGCAGGCCCTGACCATATCATGTGTGAATATGACTCAAGCACATGCCACACCATGCCTAACAAACCAACGAAAACTCTGAACAGCATGATGTACAGAGAGATGCTTGGGGGTAAACCCCTTAGAAGATAGCAACCCCATAAGTCCAAGTAAAGCCTTGGAGAAAGAAAAAATGTCATAGCCAAAGGGATTGCAGGAGTACCTGCAGGAAATGAAATAAGAGATACAGAGTGGAAAAACTAGAGAGGAAAGAATAACAGGAAGATTGACACCTTAGAACAGGTGGTGGAAAGCATATAGTAGGGAAATGTCCTAAAAATACTGTAGAAATGGAAAAAATTTAAAGACTTTTATAACCTGATGATGAATAAAATGAGCAAATCCAGAAAAATAACCACAGCATTTTAAAAACAAAACTCCTTTCTTACAGCCCAAATCTGAAAGCCCCCACTTCCAGTTCCACACTTTACCTACTCCTTACTGTGATAGTAAGAACCATCATCCATACAGCCACCATTAATGATTGCAGAGGGCCAATGATGAAAACATGCTATCCATTACAGAGAACTGATGGATTTGGGGCTCAGTATGAGACAGTTTTGTGTACAGCTGTCAGGGGAATTTGTTTTACTTGACTATGCATACTGCAATAAACTTTTTTTTTTCTTTTCAATGGGGTGAGGGATGGGAGGACGAGAAAATGCATTTTTGTTAAATGTTTAAAAATAGAGATGTTGGGGGTTGCTACAGAAGTGAAATGCTGTGTGAACTTTTAGATGAGGTCACTGCATTATTAGTTTTGCTTAACTGTTTAATTATAAGAGACCTTTCATAAAGTAGGAATAGTTTGTACTATAATATATGTGATATATGTAATAATATGTATAATATAAAACAAAAACATCAATAAAACTGGAAGTGACCAAAAAAACCCAAAAGAATTGGCTGGAGTATGAAGAGGGTAATGGGTATGTGGCTTGGTAGGTAGCTTGCTCATGAATAAACCACTAGTAATTGTCAGAGATAATATTTGAACCCAAGTCTTCTTTACTCCAAGGCCAGATCTCTCTTCTATAGCATGATTCCTTTTATAAGTGTGACCACTAATTCAAAGGGGACAAAAATTCAAGGAAGGAAATATCAATAAGACTCCAACATTTCTAATACAAATATGCAAAATACAGGTGATAAGATTTACATGAGAACCAAATATAAGGAATGCTAAGGACAGGAAATGGTACTTTTTTTCTTTTTCTTCTGTCTTTTAGTTAGAAATCAGGAAAAAGAGAAGAATCTCAGAATAGATAGGATGGTTACTTGGTATTAATGGGACAATGCTAATTAATGTGTTACTAAGAGAGGACAGAAAACAAACTTTTATTTTCTTCTATTTTCTCTGCCAAGGAGAGTGGTCTTTGCGCTGTAATGAACAGAACAAAAATGACTAATAGGGAGCCGAAACCCAATATATGTAAAGAGATAATTACAAAGCATTTTGCTACTCTTGGTGAGTTTAAGATGCACTGCCTACTGAGTATTGAAAGAACAACTGGATGTGATTACTGAGGTGATATCCCTGACCTTCAAAAAAGCATGAGAAGGATATAGGACTAGGTAGATGGTAAAGTAAGCTGGTTTTCAGAACAACTCCCAAACCCCATCGTTTCAAATCAGTCAGAAATATGCCTGGTATTTACTAATTAAGTTTGTATCAGAAGATGAGAAACATCTCCACACAACCTAATGCCCAGTGAAACAATAGTGGAGCAATGAAGAACCCAGGCCCTAACCTCTGTACCAACACAACCTGTCTGACCCTCTAGAACTCCATTTCAAGGTCTGGCTTTGGTGGCTTCTATCACTCCTTTATTACAGCCCAAATCTGATAGCCCCTCCTTCCAATTCCCCACTTTACCAACTCCTTAATGTGAAGCAGAGCATTGCTCTTACCTACCTCCATAATTAGAGAGAAGAAACAACTTTGTGTGTGGGAGGAAACCTAGCAGTGCAGAGATGATCTATGCAAGAGAAGAGAAGGGTGCCAACTCAGATTTAGTCACACCCCCCTCCCCGCTTCGGGGGATGTGAGCTTTGAAATCACCCAACTCTAGTGGTGTAGACAGGAGAAAATGTTGAGGAACAACTGACTGGGAGAGGGTCTAAATAGTTTGGAACCTTAATATAATACTATCTAATCAGAAAGAAAGGGGCAGGTGGCAAGAAGGCTGACAGAGACAGTTGGGAAGGAGCCAGGCTCTCAAAAAGGAAAAACAGAAAAGATACTCATGAAGAAAGAAGAAAAAATGTGTAAGAAAACCAGGAAAGATCATAACACACACACCCACCCACACACACACACACACACACACACACACACACACACGCACACAAATTATGCTATAATTGAAAATAACCTGAGCCTCCTCAAGACTTTTGTCTAAGGTAGCTACTTGAATGGAGGCAGGCAGCTCAGTTCCTAACACCCACTCCGACAAAAACCCAAAATAGCACCAGACTGAATAATGATCAAGAAATACATGAGAAACTGCAGTAACTTCATCTACACCAGAACTCTGCAAGGAGTTGAGAAGCTGGCCAATAGAAAAGGGGGTCCACCAGAAAGCCAATGCTGGCAGACAACAATATTGTGTTAAGAACAGCTTTGAATGACTAAGTCATTTTGACTATTATAAATACATAAGTTAAAAATAAAGGACATATGAAGAAGATGCTAATTGCATCTAGAGAAAGAACTGATAAACAGAAGTATGTATTTGTGTCTAACCTTAGACATCTCTAGGGCAGGAGGGGAGGGAGGGAAGAAAGGAAAAAAAAGAAAAAAGGAAAAAAATTTACATGGTGTATTTGTAGGGAATGGCAAGTTGTATGTGGTAAACTGGCAGTTTCATAAGCAATCTTTTTAATTGTACTGTGTTATGGAAATGCTTATTTTGTTCCATGAATTGAAAATAAAATAAATTATAGTAGACCAAACATAATCCAGTGGCTCCATGAGACAAGAAATGTTAGAACAAAATGAAAATATTGAAAAAATAGAGGAAAATGTAAGGTATTTGCTAAAAAAAAAAAAAAAGGCCTTAAAGACAGGGAGAGAAAATTGAAGAATGATTGGACTCCCTGAAAACAAAATATATGCATATATATGTATATGTTTACATGTATTAAAAACCTGGACATCTTAATTTGAAGAAAGCATAAGTGGAAACTTTCCAGATCTGTTAGAACCAGAGGACAAAGTAAAACTATAAAGAATCCATCAAACACTTCATGAAAGAAACTCCAAGAAGAAAAGTCTCAGAAACACTATAGCCCAAATCCAGAATTTCCAGGGCAAAGAAAATATTCTACAAGTGGCCAGAAAGAGTCAAGTACCAAGAAAACCACAATCAGAATCACATGAGACCTAGCTGCTTTTATTAAAAATGAGTGATCTTGGAATGCAATATTCCAAAAGGCAAAAGACAAACCCTACAATGAAGAGTAACTTACCCTGCAAAGGACATGTGTGGTTTTTTTTTAAAGTGACTATAATCCTACAGGGGAAAAAAGACTTATTAATGGAATAGAGGATTTTGAAGTGTTTCTGTTGAAAAGACAAGCTGAAAAGGTACTTTGAAAATAAGCATGAGTCAAGAGAAACTTAGACAGGTAAATTTATCTGAGCAATTGGAGGGGCTATTGTATTAGGATGAAGTGCTAACATTCTGATGGGGGAAAAACGAGTGTTCCCTCAGAATCAGCTGGTTTAAGGATAAATGGGAGTGGAGATGAATTGGCTCTATTCTGAGGATTTTCAGAAAGTAAGGAAAAGGCAGATTAAATGGACTATTCTAGAGCAGAAAGGAGAAAGAAAGGATTATAACTTACCATTTCTTATAAAGGGAGTATGTACAAGAAGAGCAGGCAAACATGAAGAGGTGGGAGAAAGGGGATATTAGATGAATCTCTTATCAAAACCAGACAAAAGAAGGCAAGCACTCACAATTTGATGTAGAGATATAGCAAATTCAAGAGAGAAACAGGAAGGGATAGGACGAGAAAAGGTTGAGCGGGATGGTAGGGTGGATCTAAAAATATATTTATTGTTAGTTTTCCACATTCATTTTATAAGATTTTGAGTTTCAAATTTTTTCCCCTCCCAAGATGGCACGCAATCTGATATAGACTATACATGTACAATCATATTAAACATATTTCCACATTAGTCATGTTGTGAAAGAAGAATCAAAACAAAAGGGGAAAACCATGAGAAAGAAGAAAAAAAAATAGAGAGGAAATAGTATGTTTCGATCTGCATTCAGACTCTATAGTTCTTTCTCTGGATATGGGTAGCATTTTCCATCATGAGTCTTTTGGAATTGTCTTAGATCATTGCATTGCTGAGAAGAGCTAAATCTATCAAAGTTGTTCATTGCACAATGTTGCTGTTACTGTGTACAATGTTCTATTGGTTCTGCTTATTTCATTCAGCATCAGTTCATATAAGTCTTCCCAGGTTTTTCTGAAATCTTCCTATTCATCATTTCTTATGGAACAATAGTATTCCATTATATTCATAAACCACAACTTATTCAGCCATTCCCCAACTGATGGGCATCCTCTCAATTTCTAATTCTTTGCCGCTGCAAAAAAGAACTGGATAGGGCAGATCTTGAAGAGCAGACTAAGAGGGGGAAAAAAACCCTAAGAATTGTAAATTAAAGGAATGCCCTTCAGTTGGGATGACTGAAAAAATTATGGTATTTTAATGTAGTACAATAATGTGCTACCGGAAGTGATGATATAGACAATTCAGTCAGTCTTGGAAAGACTTGTATGAACAATTGTAGGATGAGGTAAGCAGAACCAGAAGAACAATTTATACAGCAAGATAGTATTGTAAAGAAACAAAAAAATTATATACTTAAGAACTCTGATCAAAGCAATAACCAGCCACAACTTCATCTGTCCTGGCAGAGCAGAAAATAGCCATGTATTTTCAGACACGGACACTGTGTGGCACTGTTGTGATTGACTATGTTTATTTGTCCCAATAGTTTAAAAAAAAAACTTTTATGATGGGAAAGATTTGGGGGAAGAGGGTTACTAGCAATAGTGATGCTCAAAAATAGAGAAAAAAAGGACCATTGAAACACAAAAATAAATGCCCAGAAGAGAGCAGAAGGAAGTTCAGAAGGAGGCACAGATAAGTGAGACAGCTT